TAACGAAAAAGTATATATAAATTATTTTAATATCAATTATTTTTAAATTGGTTAACGTACCAAAACAATATCAAACATTACATCATATATTCAAACTTAAATGTCTCAACAATGTTAAATTTCAACTCTTTTAACTAAATCACTGATAAGTTATTACTTAAAGCAACTTAAAACACAAAGACATTTATTAATATTAATTAACTATATCTAGCAAAGACTTTTTTTTCGTTCATTACTATATAGAAGGAAGTTAGGCGTAGAATAGAATGATGTAAGAAAACAATTTCTATTTTATTTTTATTTAGATTTTTTAGATTTTAACTTTTATGTTAAAATTTATATAAACAATAAAATAAAAACACTAAAATATATATAATTTATTAAAAGTGATGCAGTTTTACTTCATATATGTGAAGGATTTAAACACATGTTTTCTATACATGTAAGGATATAAATTTATAAATTTCCATGCAATTGTTTACATAACTTGCTGATATTACACTGGTACTAGCTGAAATTCAAATTATTTATATTATCATTTTTTATTCATAAAAATTACAATGAAGGTCAACTAAGCCTTAGACACCACCATTAATGGTCTATGTATACGTGCCATGAACCATCTCCCCCAACCTCAACCAAGTTTACGAGGGAATGCGTTTATAATCTTGAAGTAATTTCTTTACTTGATTCACAATACAGTTAATTAATTTAAACATAATTTTATAAAATTGATTTTAAGTTAACGTTAGTTTAAAGCAACATTTTTTTCCTTTTGATTACATAAATTAAAATTGAATTTTGAAAATTTTTTGTTTATAAACTTTTTATTAAAACTATTTTAAAAAGGTGAGATAAAGTTATTTTTATAGGTGTCTCGGTCTCATGTCCATTTGATAGTATCGTTACAGTCAATTTTTAAATTCGAGGTATTGTCCATCTTGCAGTTCTCTTTTATTACGAATTTATCCTTAAAAAGTATTTTAATAAATTAAGAGATAAAAGTGTATTTAAACTAACATTGACCTTGACTCCAAAATGATACTGAGACTCCATGTACTTACCGAAGTACTTATATTTAATTTAAATGTTAAAAATGGATAATCATTCTATTAAATATTGTCTCGTCAAATATATTATTGAATTACACATACAAAGATTAAATTTGAGATATTAAAATAAATATAAATATTTATTTTAAAAAAATTGGAAAAAAAAAAAAATATATATATATATATATATATATATATATATATATATATATATATATATATATATATATACTCATTATTTGTTTGTTTAGGCGTATATTTTTTAATTGTCAGGAATAAATTATTTATTAAAGAAGATTTATTTTCTTATAACTTAAGTTAAGCTACTTTATTTAAATTTACTAAAAAAAGAAAATAATGGAATTACGTGCATAATATTTAGATCTCATTGTTAAAAGCAATTAAAATTGAATTTATTTTGGATTTTGTTGGGTTGGCCCATTAAAAATAGTAACGAAAGTAAATTGATTAGTATATTATATTTAAGTATAATATTATTATATTTAGAATTAATTATCCACTAATAAATATACATAAATATGTCTTTTAATAGCAAAGTTATATTATAATTTTAAAATAAAACGATACAATTATTTATAAATATGAAATAAATTACAATTTTGAATATAATAAAAAAATTTAAAAAATTCACACTACACTTCTCTATTTGAAAATGATTTTTATAAATTAGTTAGTTTTATAGGTTTTTTCTATAAAAATGTTTAATAAATTTACAACAGGGCCAACTTTTTTTAATCGAACCATAAAACATAAATTTAATTTAATTTAAATTTGATATTAAATTAAAATGTAATCAAAGCGAAACACTTTTTTATTAATTTTATTAAATATTTAATAAAGGATAATTAAATTGAAACATCTTATTTCAAAGTATGGAGTGAAAGCATTAAATATGTGATGAATGATATTATCGAAAGTCCAAGTGAATTAAGTCGAAAGTACTTCGTACTTGTTTTTATTCCGTCACTGATAAGTTGTGGTCAATTCGTTCATGGTTGACGATGTGTGTGGCTGAAATTTATTATGATTCGTGGATGTTAATGTTTCGCATTGAAAAATGTAAAATAATAACTTATTTTTTAAATAATTTTTTATTCATTTTATTTATTAGAAATATTTTTAATAAATTTTAAAAAACTTTTTTTCTTTTTCATTTATTTTGATTTGTATATTTTTATAAAGGTATTTTCAATACGAGCAACTGCTTCTTATTTTAAAAAATTTAAAGTAGATATTTATGTTATATTATTTTTAACAAATTTAAAGTTGATTTTTTTTATTAAAAAGTTTTTTTAATAAATTTTAAAAAATTTATTTTCCCTCCTCATGATTTCTTCATTTTTATAAGTTATTTGCTAAAACAATTTAAAACAAATCTAAATATGCTACATAATATTTCTTCAATAAAAAATTATTTCAAATAATCAATATTTTATTTAAATATTTCAATAAATAATTTTTATTAGAGATGCTATAAGTTGCTTAATAAAGTAATTACCAACAAAATTTAAGCACTTATTATATTATATAAGTTTTTTTCGTTAAAAAATCACTTTAAGCAACTAATTTTATTATTTAAGCATCTCAATAAGTAATTTTTATTAAAAATATTCTTATTTTATTTTATTTATTTATTTTATTTATTTTATTAATTTGATGGATTATAAATGAGGGGTTGATCTACTATCTTGTTTTAAGAAATTATTTATATAGTAAATTAAAAAATGTATAATTAAAAATATTATATTTTTTATTATATTATTAAATATATATAAATATTATATAATATTATAATTTAAATTATAAATTTTAATTAATTAGGTTTAAATTATTAATTATAATTAAATATTTTAACATATAAATATAATATTTTTTTAATTTATCTAATAAAAATATTAATTAATAAATAAAATTTAAAAAATTATTCATATAATTTAAGAAATATTTAAATATATATATATATATATATATATATGTATTAATAAAATGAAGTAAAAATTATGGGTGGGTTGTCCATTTCCATCTAAACTTTACAAAATTTGTGGATAAATTGATTCGTTTTATTATCCTAATTTTATATAAAATAAATAAATATCCACGTATATAATATATTTTACTAAATATAATAGTAGTGTAAATTGATGATTTTCCATTTTTTTTTGCATGAATTTACAAATTTTACATTTTATATATATAATTTGCTTTAAATCACACATCTTTTATTCCAAATTAACCATGACTTTTATATAAATAAATAAACAACTTTTCTTTTTATTCTACAAATGATAATAAGATAAGAATATTTAATTCAATGAAACCATTCCTAAACCAACTATTAGAATTGGTTTATTTGACCAATTTATATATTAGTTTTCTATACCAGTTATCACGAGGGTTATTTTATTTTAAGATAATTGTAACTATGATTTATTAATGTACACTTTTTGTGTGTGTTTGAATATATATGTTTTTACTATACTAATTTCAAGATAATTATAGTTATAATTTATAAACATGCTCTAAAAAAAGTGAATGTGCAGTAATTAACAATTCTCTATATAAATATTACTTCATATATAAAAGATATCAGGCATTATATTTTATTTAATAATCATATATTTAATTTCAAAAAAATTATATATATATATATATATATATATATATATATATATATATATATATATAATGCATTTCGTTTCTGATGAAGTTTTTTATGCGTGGTCAATAATAAAACTCATGACAATTTATTTAAGAAATTAATATGTTGTCCTTGTTGGTAATTAAAGATTGATTTAGTTGAAATATTTTTTCAAATCTCATTTAAAAAATTAATTGACTTGATTGGAAAATATTTTAACATAAAGTTATACTTATTTCTCAAATCTAACTATTATAAATGTGTATATTTCTTAAGGTTATCGTAACGTGTGGATTATCTATTATAAGGAAAAGTATTTTTTTATTTAATTTATTTTTCAGGTTTCAAAAATAATTTTAGAGTTCAATTTTAAAATAAATTTTTTTTTAGATAACATCAATTTTAAATATTAATTTAAATGAGAAAGAATAATATCAATAATAAAGAAAATTGAAAAACCTTTTGTGATGTAGTCCAACTATTCAAAAAGAATTTTACATCATTAATAGAAAGAGAAAATTTAAAATAGAAGATATAGTTTATCAATTTTAGTCTTTTAATTTATAAAAATTAACAATTAAAAATAATTTTTAAAACTTAAAAGTTTTTCAAGTTTTAAAAATTAAAATAATAAATAACTTAGTTGTAAAAGTAATGTTTTCAAAATTGAATTTGGATTTAGGGTTTAAACACTTAATTTTGTTTTAAAATCGAATTTAATAAAATAATATTTTTATAATATAATAAATATATAATAAATTTATTAATAATAATATTTTATATATATATAAAATAATAAAAATTATTATTATGATTATTATAAATTATAGTAAGTGTTACAAATATAAAATAAATAAAAAATTACCATCATATACATTATATTTTATAATAAAAATATAAAATGAATAATTATAAAAACAAGTGAAAAATATAATACAATAATTATTATTTAAAGTTTTATATTATATTTTTATAAAAAAATATTAAAAATTTGATTTTAATTTTTTTTTACTGAAATCAATTGATCCATTTTTTTTTCTGTTTTATTAAATTGGGCACAATTTTTTAAAATAATTTTAATTTAATTAAAATTCAAATATTTAAAAATTATAGACTAATTTTTACGTCGATTCTCGGTTAAACAGTTTCTCCAGTCCGGTTTTCGGTGGTAAAGGTTAAACAAAGACGCCTATAGTTTTTGGTTGATCTTTCTCTTAAACACATTATTTTTGAATTGACAAAGTATGAATTCAAATTCTTACATCACAAGATTGACAGTGAATCTTAAATCAAGCCTCGGGAAAGGGTATGGAATTTCTATTTTCTAAGGTGGTGTTGGTATTCCCTGGAAGAAAATCTAGGTTGTAGAATACAACTACCATGGCTATTAAAGAGAAGAAGGTAATGACAGGTCCGAAGATCCAAAGTATAAGAGGAAGTGCAGAATAGAAAAGCCTGTTTCCCACTGTGTTCAACAAGATGCCCTTCTCCAAAAGCTGAGTTAAATATTGTGAAGTCACCAGGGACTTGTCATCTTGTGGAGTGAACATGAGGATATTCACTTGATTCAGAAACCCTATGGAGAAAGTGTGACATAGGAATGAGAACAAGAACATGGCAAGGAGAACGGCATATTTCAGACCCACCATTAATTCTCCATGTGTTCCAAAAACTATGTCGTTGTTGATTGCACTTTTAACACTGTAAGTGCTGCTTATGATTGCTCCTAGGCCAGCACATATGACAATGGATGTTGTGGCCATTAGGGTTGACGCCATCATTAGGTTTCGAAGAGATTGAATTGCTATGATACTCTTTTTCTCGATATCCTGCAAATGCCATCATTAAGTTTGTCGAATTTCTATTTCTCTTACTCTCCCAATCTTTATCACTCACATGTGCCCAAACATTGTATGCAACAACTTTGTCTTATCTTGTTTCGTTTTGACACATGTATAATCTCAGACTTTAATGTAATTAATTTAAAATTCAGTAAATTTATGCTATTCTCTAGAAAAGAATAACACTGCTTAAACTTTGGGAGAATGTATGAAATACAAAAAAAAAATACCTTGATGATGACAAGAACCCAAAATCGGGGACTATCAGCTTCTCTTCCAAAGGTTGTGGTGAAGGGTTGTGTCTTTGACTTATGCCATAACCAAACATGATATGCTACCAACATTACTAACCCTAATGGCACCAACGTCACATCCCAATAGTATTTTCTCCACTCCATCCCAAATTAAACTCTCTCCCTCATCTATTGCTTTTCGTGACTATCTTTGTTTTCACCCTAGTTTGGTGCATAATGCTATCTGGTTAGTATATATAATCATATATATATATATATATATATATATATATATATATATATATATATATATATATATATATACAGAGAGAGAGAGACGTGTCGTTTAATGTACGGAATCATATGTGTAGTATATTTTAATCAACGCATGAGCCGAAAGAGACACGTGCTCGAATTTTAAAAAGAATTTTTGAAGTTTAGGTAAGAAATAAAAGAAAATTTATTTTCTTGTAAAAGATGGGAACGTGGTACAGTAGTTAGTAATATGGTGATAAGCCAAAATTTTGAATCATATCATCCAAGTCTAATGACATGTTTGCAAAATACTAGTCATCATCGAATTTTCAAGTCAAACTTGAAAATAGTTCAAATCTGAAGATGTATATCACTTCCCTGGTGAATTCCTACGTTCATGTTTTGTTTCCCAGCCACAAAGTCCATCTTATGAAGCACCAACAACATGGCAACCGAACAGGAGAATGCCATGACAGGTCCAAAGATCCATAGCAGAAGGAAAAGTCCTGTGTGTGAAAGTCTGTTTCCCAGAAAATTCAAAATAGTGGCTTTTCTCAGTAGATCAGTCAAGTACTCTGGGGTAACCAAGGTTATGACATGTTGGGGTGAGCAAATGAGGATGCTCAACTGGCTTAGAAACCTAACTGAGAGAGAGTGAAAGAGAAATGAGAATAAGAATATTGTAAAGATGGTTGCATATTTTAGTGCCACTACAAATTCCCCATGTGCTTCATAAACCGAGTCAATGAAAGGCTTCCTCACTCTGCAAGTGCTGCTTATCACTGCTCCAAGGCCACAGCAGAGAAGGATGCTTGTGTTGGCCATAAAGATTGATCCCATCATCAAGTTCCGAACACTTTGGACTGCTACAATGCTCTTCTTTTCAATATCCTTCAATAAAATCCATACATAATATACCACTATCAAAATAAAATAGGAATAGTGTGGTCCATTAAACAACAAATTCTTAAGCATAATTTCTTCTGATAATCCTACTTGTTCTTCAACAGTATCCAATATTTTAGGAGGCATACCTTGATAATTGCAGGAATCCACAAACGCCGGCCATCGGCATCTACTCCGAAGATGGTTAAGGGAGCCTGTGTCCTGACCTTATGCCATAACCAAACATGGTAAGTAAGGTTTATGAGTAACCCTAAGGGTATAAGAGTCACATCTAGGTAAAATGTCCTCCATTCCATGTGCATCTATCTGCCTCCTTCAAATGACTCTTTAATTATGCTCTAATTTTGGTGAACAATGCTTCTATATATCTATATCTATATGTGTATCACTTTCTTTTCCTCCAATGAGTATTTATATGTATATGGATTGTTAGTTTAAACCAATTATATTCCATTAGTATATCACCAATTTTGTGTCACATCCTATGAATTCCTACCTAATATTCTTCGCTATATTTTCTCATAAGATTAGTTAATGACCCTAGAAAGATAAAGAAAAATATGAACATGGATATCTTAGCTAACGTTGGAAGCAAGATCGATTAAGAAAAAACCACCATTTTAACTCTTTCCGAATATGCTTACTATAATTTTGAGTACATTTTTTGTATTAAAAAAATGGATCTAAAATGAACCCAGACCTCATTTGAGATTAAAAGGTTATTAGTTTGGCATAGATTCTAGAAGGGTATTCCTAGAACGAATATAATAATAAAAAACATAGATTAAGTACAATGTATTCATGAGAAATTCCTAGATTGTATGTTGATTAATTCATGTAAAACCTGATGTCTATATTAATCAATGTAAACTTGGGATTGAATGATATGTTTGTAGAATAAAAATAATTATCTTTTGTAGAGATAACATCTATGAGGAAAAAAAAACTTAAATGTAGTAAATAATGATAGGGAAGTTTTGAATATTGTCCTATGATATGTTGTTGATGATTGTTCCAAGGGCATCCCTGTTACATATATTATTCTTCATATGCGAATTTGTCGCACCCACACCAAACATGGCATCACCATTTGTGTGCATCATTCCACTCGCTTTATTTAGTGGATGGAATTTGGTTCCATCAAAATATATTCTATTTCTATGCCTGATTTTCGAAATGTAAATGAAGAATCTGAGGGTTTATGTCAACCAGAATAAAATTGAAGAACCATCCAGCTAATACTTGAAGAATATTCAGTCTTATTATATTATCTCAATATGTCATAGAAAAAAAATTAATAGTTTTAACTCGTAAATTTATTTTCGTCCATTTAAGTAATTCATAGATAAAATTTTACTTGCTTCTAAAAAATATTTATATATTAAAAAATTTTAAAATATTATCTTTTTTATATATTTTATTAGAATATGTAAATATATTATAATATTTTAATTTTAATTATAAATATTAATAAATAAAATTCAAATTGCTAATTATAATTAAGCATATTAATTTATTTAATAAAAATATTAATTAATTATTAAAAATTTAAAAAAATATAATTAAAAATATATTAAAAAATATTATATATGAAAAAATTAATAGACTAACCTACTAGTCTGCTTTTTAAATGAGATGTTGAAAATCTATAATTTATTTTAATGACGATCAATCTACCTTATTTTAGTTTTCTCATAATTATTAGACAAACCAAAATAGAACGTATTATTAAACTAAAATGCATATATTTTGTCATCATTAAAATTAAAAATTACATTTGAAAATGTAATTAGGTGAATAATCAGAGTCATTATCAAATCTATCATATGTAAAAATAAATTATTCATTGAAGTGATATAAAAAAAATATATTTTAAGTAAAATAAATTAGACATCCAAATTTTGGGGAGAATATATTCTATATCTCAATGTGTATTTTTTTCTTTTTCTTTTTCAAACCTACTAGGTCTATTATTTGAGCAAGCTTAACTAGGGTTCAAAAAGGAGTATATTTAATTTCTATTCTATCCGCTCTGTCGAATCTTCAAAATACATAATTTTTCTTACTATAATATACCTCGCTTTTTTTCTTTTAAGCATGCATGGTGGTTTATTTTTTATTTGCAATTACGTAAAGAAACATGAAGATGCGACATTGGTCCCACCTAGTGTCTTACTTTATGTACTTGAAGATAAATGTAAGCACTACAAATAAGTCTTTTATTTATAAAATAACTTAATTGTCATGTGTGTGTGTATATATATATATATATATATATATATATGATAAGTCTTTTCATGATTCCATTTGATACTATAATCGAAAATTTGGGCCTGCAAATAAACAAATCAGTAAAATGGCAACACGTTATACAGATATTGTTATTGCCTATTAGATTCAGCAATGAAAAGATCTTTTAGTGCCACACAGAAAAAGCTTTGGTGACACACAAAAGGCTAATGCTAATCTTATTCAAAGCCACTTATCAAAAGCCATTTGAATTATTTTCATAAAGTTTCTAGATTACTAAAACACTGTACTTTACAACATAAAGTTCTAAGCAACAGCACGTACGCATATAACAATAATCTTATCCATTCCATGTTCTTGGTCTTAGCTGAGGATGAAAAATAATTCATCAAGCAAAGTCACTTTTATCATTCAGCACCATCTTTGCTTTCCCACAAACGAAGTCAAGGTTGTAGAACACAGGCAACATGGCAATAGAGCACAAGAGAACCAGCACTGGCCCAAAGATCCAAAGCAAAAGAGGCATTGCTGAGTAGAAGATCCTGTTCCCCACTGTGTTCAACATCGTTCCTTTTTCCAAAATCTCTGTCAGATACTCTGGGGTCACCAAGGACATGGCATCTTGTGGTGTGCAAATAAGGATGCTCAATTGGTTCAGGAACCTTATTGATAGAGTGTGACAGAAAAATGAGAACAAGAATATGGTGAGGAGTGTCACGTATTTGAGTGCTACCATGAATTCACTGTGAGCACCATAGACAACATCATCAAGTGGCTTTTTCACACTGTAAGTGCTGCTTATCACTGCTGCCAAACCAGCTGAGAGGAGAATGGCTGTGGTCGCCATAAGGGTTGATCCCATTATCAAGTTGCGAAGACTTTGTGCCACTAGGATGTTCTTCTTGTCAATATCCTGCCATGGATATAAATATGACGTTTTACTTTCCTTATTTGAACATAAAAATTGACACTGTACGTTTCTTTTATCAAAAAATACGTCTCAAAATCAAAAGGGTTGTGCCAATTTGATGTACACTTTTAAATGAAACTGGTGATTCAGATTTTGGCAAAACACGTCACAAAATAGTCACAAGTTCCTAAACCTGGACCATCATCACTTCTCGTGACCCTAAACTGATAAACATCACAGTATATGCACGATTTTGAAAAAACTGAACTTTTAAAGCTCATTTTATTCAAAGTCCAGATCCCTCATAACCAAAGATTTCAAATACAGCGTGTTATTTTAGAAAGATGTAACAATTCCATGCATCACTAGTGAACACCGGGTGATCAAGCAAGATAGCATCAAACTTGGTGCATGTATAGAACAACTAAGAAGGTAGGCAAACAAGTCAAAATCGTTTCTAAACCAGCCATTGATTTTATTCACCAAATTAGCACAACCTTATTATTTAATAAGAACGGCCAAACCCATATATAGTTTAGTTTAGTTTTCAATATTTGTCTCAAATAAGAAAGTGTCTACTAGTTTGTTGAAATATTGGAAGTAAAGAGATAGAAATCGATATATAATAAGAAAAACTGATTAACATCTGTTGGTATGGGATTAAAAAGTATAATATATCTAAGTTTAGAAGTTTAAATCTGTGGTAGCTAGTTCAATCATATGCATGTTTTCGCAGAGAGTAATAACCATGAAGATGAATCAAAACCAGAACCAAACATGGACATGATTATTTACCTTCAACATGGCAGGAACCCAGAAGCGTCGTGCATGAGCATTGATTCCAATCGTGGTGGAAAAAGGCTGTGTACGAGTTTTATGCCACAACCAAACATGATAAACAACGGTTACCAGATATGCTAATGGTACAAGAATCATATCAAGATAATGCGGTCTCCATTCCATGGTAAATTTTTTTGCTCCTCTCTCTTTCTATGCTTAACAGGGTTATGTGTTGTGATGTGAGTGGAAGTGCTTCAGAACTACTCTATATACGCCGTGATCCTTTTGGATTCTTTCTCCCAGCAAGGAAGTTCTATATATAGTGGAAAATCATGTGAGTGGAACAAAATCAAAAGCAAAAGATATGTTGTCAATGGCAACTATGCTACTAGTGCTAGTGCTTGCTGAAAAAATCAAGTTTAGTGCTACTGACATGAAATTCTTGCTTTATTTTAAAAGTAATGCTTAAATATCAATAAATAAAGAGCATAATAGTAATTATCTTAATTTTAAGATGATTAATTCAAAATTATTAAAAATGTTTAGGTAATTATTATAAAAGTTAGCAGATTTATCAAATACAATATTTTTTTATTATATGATAATATAAAATCTTTTTATATTGATCTGTGTAGAAACCTTTTAGTTACTGTTATTAATTAACTTTTTTATTTATTATAAATTAGCTAAAATGCACCTTTGGTCCACGTATTTTGTTGTTAACAATTGACTGATTTATTAATGGCAGATTAAAATTATTTAATTTTAAGAAACTGAGGTCTAAATCTACAATTAAAATTTTGTAAGAACCCAGTTGTTTGTGAAGCTATATGCACTAAAAGAGGAGGTTTAAGCCTAAAATTTATTAAAATTGTAATATCTTGCTTTCGATTGAAGAGTCTTACGTATAATTTTGTAATTCTTAAAAAGTTTTAATAAATAATAAAGTGTGTGACAAGAAGAGTGCGTAAATAAGTGAGAAATAATCTCTTTTATCAGGGTTAAAAAAAATTATAATAACAATTTTTAAGATTTTTAACCGTCGTTATATAACGTTAAAAATCTTATTTTATTCTATCGTAAAAGTTTCCTCATAATAAACATTAAACCTAGATATTCTACAGTGTAAATATTTTATGATTTAATTAGTGTAATTTTTTTTAAATTAAGGCAAACTAAATTAATTTTTTTATGATTTAATTAGAGTAATTTTTATAACACTTTTATTATAATTTTGATAAATATATTATAATAAAATAGTTATTTAATAAACAATATATTATAAAAATATGATGCATATTCATAATTTAATTTATGATAAGAAATTAATTTATTTCATTCATAAAAAGTGTTATTTAATGTTTTAATTTCGATTTGATTTAAGTTACTCCTTAACTGTGAAATCAAAAATTAAATCAATTTGATTTTAAACTTTTTCAATTAAAAAAATCTAGGAACAAAACTGATTTTAATTATTTTCCAGTTTTTTTTATCGTTTTATTTTATTTTATTTTATTTTTTTGTAAATCAATTTAAATATTTTTCTATCTGGTATTATTAAAAAACTGAGATCAAGAATAATATATATATATATATATATATATATATATATATATATATTATTCTTTCTCAATTTAACCGATATGTCTTTTAATAAAAAAATAAAATAAAATTTTAGAATAAATAATATTTCAAATATATTAATTCATTTAAAGGATATCATATATATATATATATATATATATATGATCGAGATATCCCATTCCAAGAGCGAACAAATACAGAGGAAGTTGGAAAGATGGAATCTTGAGGAATCCGATTCGAACTAACCACCCAACCAACAGCAACCTCTGGTTTTGAAAATAAGCACACTTGCTGTTTTCCAATGGTTCAGGTTTTACACAATATTTTTTATGTAACTTAACATTAAAGTAATAATTTATACAAAAAATATTAAATAATATACGTTTTTGTAATTATGAATATACTAGATATTGAAATTGGGTCATTGGTCAAATACTTAACCACAATTAATGCATTTAGTTAGAATTTGGAACTGCGGAATGTATCTTATTTTAGAAATACAGTTCATTCATATATAACTTTGAAAATATACTTAAATGGTTTATCAGAATTTCTGCTTCATTGATCTTAATTACAAAAGTCAATGCAGTGTTTATGCCTTTTCTTTTCTCCATAATGATACCCTAAAATTAAATATGCTTTTATGCATCCATACAATTAAATTAGGTAGGTTCATCATTGTGCTCTGTCAGAATATGCAAAGTGTATTATTATTATTCTCGTGTGCTTCTTCTCAGATATCTTTTGCAGTTCTCAAAAAGTGATTTCAATGGGACTTTCATTTTGTTCTTCTTCAACCTTCACACTTCACGCCATCGGAGAGTTCAGAAGAGAAATAATTAAACTAACGAATCAATTAAAATATGCTTCATTACAATTTTCAAGTCAAACTTCTTAAAACATCAAAAGTTCGATTAGGTATACTGATTTTAGGTTAATTATTTCTTCAAATATTTTTGTTTGTTTTTCCATAGAATTAATATATATAAGTGATTAACACGCAGATAACCTTCATATTCAACTTTTTCCTATAATATCACAAGCATATTCATTGAAAACTTCGGATAATTTCAGTTATTATAGAACAATTATATTCGTACAACTATTTATGTAGATAAGATAAAACTGTTCTTTCTAACCGCACTATAACACGACTATTATCTAGGTCTTCAAATCAACACTTCTTAGCTCATTAAGAAGATATAAATAAAAAAAATTAAAACTTTTGCAACATTGCATCTTATAATAAAATAATCTCTTATTTTAAGTTTGATTTTCTTCAAAACATTTTACAAAATCACAAAAGTATTTTTATGTCTAAAACGTTCTTTTTAATATTTTAATAGTTTCTAAAAAATGTGTATTATGGAAAAAAAAATTACACTCTTTTATAGAATTTTAAATCTATTATAACTAATTCAAATAATTATAAAATATTTAATCAATTATTTATTTACAGTTACGTACTAAAAATATGATTATAATCGATTAAATACTAACGTAATTAATTATTAACATATTATGTGAAAATAGAAATTTAGTTATATAATTGATTATTAATATTATAAAAATATGAATTTAAGTCGTATAATTAATTAAGAACTGATATAACTTTAATTTTAATATAATTGATTATTTTTAATTTTTTACTTTTTTATTTTAACAAATATTAGATCGATTATTCACACAATTACTAAATTATCTTACAATAACATCATAAAAAATAATTTTTAAATCAATCTTTTCTTCTTCGTTGACATAACAACTTGAAAATGAGCGAACCTATGGTATTGCAAAACACAATAATGCATTTTTTTCTTAATGCATGCTTTTTTTTCTTCTTCTTTTCTTCTTTCTTATGCAATTCTTACACTTCTATTCCTGCTTCCATGTGATTGTATTTATAATAATATTCTCATATAAATTGATGTAACAACAATATTTATGCATTATAATAATTGAGATCCTAAAAATAATTATAACTTTAATTTTAATAAAAAAAATAAAAATATAAAACACTAATCTCAACTATTTAATAGACGTTGAAATGCTCTAATATAGTTAAAGAAAAATGTTTAAAATCATCAATGAGTCACAATAATAATGTTGTTGTTATTCATCATAGAAAAAAATGTTTAAGAAACTTATAATAATGATGTCATCGCTCAATAAAAAAATATTATAAGGACTAAAAGATGAAACATATTAAATAAATTTTACGTTGAAGTATATAAGATTCGTAGAAGAGTTTATTTTAATTTAAAAAATGTATACATATTTTGTTACATGGATAATAAATAACCTAACGAAAGGGTGATGTAAAAAATATATTTTATACTAATGAATTAACTATAGTGAAATATTAGTTTTATGTATATATCATATTAAAAAATAAATATATAATAGTGTAAATTTACTTTCTATACTACGATTTAAACGTATATCTACTATCTTATATTTAAATAAGTTAGTTATATAATTGTGTAGAAGTTGGTTGATAGTATTTAGGATACTTTCCTTTATCTCATACCTTTCCAAAGTATTGGCAAGAATAAAAAGAACGATGGTCAAAAGGATACAAAGTGGATGAAAATTAAATATGTGTCCCTTTCGCATCCAAACCATGGAAAGTAAAAAAAGGTTGACGGAGATGCTTTTATAATATACAACAACCACGTCCTCCACCACTTTTGTCGTTTCTAGTTAAAAGCAAAACACATCATTTTCAAGGTTTTTATTTTGTTCAAAATATTTTGATCACGCAATTTTTTCTTTTTGAAGTATTATCTTTGTTAATATTTTAAAGCATTCTTTATGGTTTATAGTTTTGGAGTTTATAATCAAAAACACTTCTATTTAACTTTCGTTTTCTTGAACTTGCTTTCACTTTAAATTAAGAAAGAGATCAAGTAGAGAAAAAAAATCATAAAAATCTCTTGGTTTTTTGGTAAAAAATATAAAGAAAAAGTAAGGAGCAATATAGAAGTAAAAAAGGAAAAACATTATCTAAATAGATATTAAATATAAAAAATACATAAAGTTTAATAATTTTATTTAGTTTGTTTTGATCATCTACTTAATTTATAATCTACCGTTTAAAAAAATATATTTACATATTAAAGAATTTTAATTTAAAATATTATTAAAATAATTATAATTTAAATCATAAATATTTATAATATAATGGAAAATATTTTGATTTCTTTTTCTTTTTATTATTTTTCCAACACAAGATAAGATAATAACCCTTTCTTCAAAAGTTAACTCCCACTAACAAGATCTTCGGTTCAAATCTCATATAACAACGTTACGTATAAGCTATGTACATGTTGATATATCGTGTTATATATTGAGTAGGGTTTTCGTTCCTTTTGTCGAAAGAAAAAAGAAAAAAGATCATGATATATATATATATATATATATAACATTGTGTAAAACTGTACTATCAACCTATCTCATGTATTAGGTATTAAAACACACAATGATATGAGAGAAAAATAATTTCCACAAGAAAGTGTTTATCATGATAAGCCTCATGCAAACAATCACAACCCAAGATGGTTCTTTCTATTGTATTTTTTGAAAGCAAGATGCACCAAAACCTACCATAATTGCACCATAAAAAAGATGTCTCACATCAAATAGCCTCATCATGAACCACGTTCCCAGCATTGGGTGAGTTCCTTTGTAATGACAATAACTTGTGCATGCATGCATTTTATTGAAGTCTCATTCAAGCGGCTACCAAAAGAAAAATGAACATGGCATGAATCATGCAAGATAATCGTGTTTGATCCTTTTGTGGGTCCACGCTAAAATAGTAAATATAAATGTTTTATGTATATAACTTAATGTAAATAATAGTTTTTTTTTAATATAAAAAAAAACCTTTTTAAAAAAATAATAAATAAGGATTATATACAAATTTTAATATAATAAAAATATATTTGCATTAAAAAATGTTTTTTTTAATATTAATCCTAATGGTGATATTTATGGCCACAATATTTTATCTTCTTTAATTTTTTTTTCTTTTTATTTAAGCTTACTCTCACTTTATACGTTATGATTTACTTTACATTTAGGGCCACAATTTCTATTTCCTTATAAAAAAAAAATATCATGACAATGCGTAGTTCAACTACGCAAAAATTGAAGAACAGCGACCTTAAAATGTATAATTCCTCTGAAGCATCACTATCTGTTTCAATATAATTAAAGATATAACTAAATTTAAATATATAGATAAAATTAGTTACCATTAAAACATATAATAAAAGATAACACATTTTATAAATTCACTTTCCAAGTTAATTAAAAATGTAACACTAAATTAAATATATAAATAAATTAATTATCATCTTATAAACTGATATAGGCCCATAGTCAATTATAATAACCTAAAACTTAGTCCATGTGATTTCGTGCTTGTTTAATTATTTGGTAGTAAGTAGCATTGTAGGAGATAAAAAGGATCTTTCTTGCTTAAAACTATGGTTAATTTAAAAATCCTAAAAAACACCAAAGTTTTATGTTAGTTTTTATTCCAACTTTTATTCATTCTTCCCTTACAAAATAAACAAAGCCTAAATAGCTTTATCCATTTGAGAGAGAGTTCATTCCTATTTCCTAGTCAACATTTACATCACTGGACTTGCAAGGTTGTAACAAAAATCAGTGATGTGTTCATTGCCTTCTGCATTGCATGTGAGAGGTGGCACACATTCACCATATCTTACCTCAGTTTGCTTACACGAATGCTATTGCAAAACATTGAAATAGACAAGGCTTTAAGCAATCGTGTAAGCAAACTTAGACATGATGTCGTGCATGTGTGCCACCTTTCACATGCAACGCAGAAAACAACGAAAACATCATTATTCACTGGTTCATAATAACTCAGTCCGCAAACACTTACATAAATAACCCAACTCAGGATTTTGGGGGCACTTCACAGCAAAAATAAAAGATAGGTTTGAACTACAACAGCGACATGGTGGTGCTAAAGGTGTGTTTCGTGCTACTTTTCCTTTTGGGGACTTCTTCAGCTAGCTCGAGGCTGTCTCAGGTGGGTCTACTCATCAAAAGTGATAGTCACCATCACTCAACTGATGAGCCCTCCGAGTATTCAAAACCATGCTGTGATCAGTGCCTATGTACAAAGTCAGACCCTCCTCAATGCCACTGTACAGACATTAGGCTAAATTCGTGCCATTCAGCTTGCAAATCATGTATTTGCGCAACTTCGTATCCTGCACAGTGTGTTTGTGTTGACGTAAATAACTTCTGCTATAAACCTTGCAAGTCCAGTCATGATGATGATGACTAGGGTTACTGATGAACAAGTGTTGTAAAGCTCTCTCTGCAATGGATGAAGCCCTTTAGGCTTTGTTTGTTTATGTAAGGAGATGACTAAATAAGCTTGAAATAAAAGCTCCTTTTTCTCTTCGTCCATGCATGATTTGCTTTCTGAAAATCTTCTTCTTCTTTATTCTAATGCAATTGTATGTGTTTAGAAGACATTAACACGAAAGTTAATTTAGTGAGTTTTAGTTGTGGTTTGCATTTGGTTCCATGTTGGACATTTTTGGTCTGAACTTTTCTTTTTGAACTAAAAATGGTGTTCAACATTTTTCTTCTAATTAAAATTAAAAAAAAAACGGATAATTAAAAAATTCACTGAAAAAAAAAATTCATGTCTAATAAAACCAATTTATTAAAAAGGTGAAAAAAATAAAAATTATATATTTTAAATTTTATGTTACATTAATAAAATTAATTTTAATTTTATATATATTGTAAGGGAGGGAGTTGTATCAATGTGTAAATTGAGTTTAAATTGGTATAATAATTGGATATATATATATATATATATATATATATATATATATATATATATATGTGTGTGTGTGTGTGTGTGTGTGTGTGTGTGTGTGTGTGTGTATGTAGATGTAATGTGGGAATGGGGATGAGATAGATAAATATAACGTGAATGTATATGAAATATTTAGTGATGATGTAGGTGATAAATCTTCTAAAAGTTATTTTTGAAACTAGTAGATGTTTTATTTGCTTTCGGGTAATTTGTTTTGGTTTCGAGATATAAATCTCTTACCATGTGAAACGGCATTTTCCTAATTTATAGAATTTGAATTCCTTCTATTTTTTAAAATTTTTAAATAATTTGTTTCAGTGATACGATTCAAATTTACTAAATTTTAATGTTCTTGTATAAACAAATATTTTAATTAGTATAAATATAAAAAAAATCATTATTAGATGTGAATTAATATTAGACTATTAGATTAGATTAAAATGAATTATGACAAGTTAGACAGAATCAAAAGTGAAAATATCACACTGGTAAGATTAGGTCTTATGAAGATAAACTGTATTAGATAAAAAAAATTAGGTTAAATTAGATTAGAACTGTTTCAACCAAGTTTGAGATAGTTAAATTTAATGATTTATTAAACTCATATTAACTAAACAAAATGTTATATATATATATATATATATATATATATATATATATATATATATATATTTTGAGTCCATTTAATTTATTCTCTTGAACAATAAAATAAATAATTAAATATATTAAATAAGAAAGTTTAAAAGAATTTTTTTTATTTCTCGTATTTTTATATTCTCACATTTACGTGTTTTTTTAGTTTATTTACTTTTTTTTATGTAAGTATGACAAAAATATTAGATCCGTCTACCAAATTAACTAACGAGGATAACTCGTGTTATGTGAGACTGTGTTGGTATTAATTAGGCATGAATCGAACTATTTTAAGTCTACTTGAGTTAATATATGAGTAGTTGGATCAAATCTTATTAGAAATTATTAAATTAGATTAAGAGTCACTATTAGAAATTATCATATTTGATGAAAATATTTTTACAATTTTTTTATAAAAGTAACAAGAAATAAGTTTTCTTTAGATTTAAATAAATTTTTAAATGAAATTAAAAAAAAACTAATTTTTTAATAGGAAGATGTCAAATTATAATGAATTAAATCGGATTAAGATGAGTTAAATTAACTCAATACAACATACATCAAATTAAGAGTAATCGGTTGAGATTATTCTAATATAATGAGAAGATGTATTGGTTTAAATAAGATTAAGATAAACATATATGTTAAGTGGAGTTAATCGTGTTGAAAGAGATTGAAATAAATTAAAAATATTTTAATCTGGATTAAATAAAAAGTGAAAATATAAAAAAATAAACATAAATTTATAAAGAAAAAATATTCAAAATCTTTTTTTAATAAATTTAATATTCTATTATTTTAAATAATTAAATTATCTTCATAATTTTTTAAACTTATTTTTCAATATCTCTATCCTATGAATCATCCAAAAGGAAAATTTAATTTGAAAAATTAAATATATGTAAATTATATAGTCGCGGCATAAATAAAACAGTTATACCATGAATATTCTGATAAGTGATTTTCTATCTAATTTATATCCGAACACTTTTTAATACCTACATGCAACAAAATTTGGTAGTATAATAAAATTCTGTGACATATAAAATATCTTTTATTGTTTTTCATGCTGAATATATACTAAGGGACACACCTGGCAATCGTGTAAGCAAACGCACTAATGATACGTGCATGTGTGCCACCTTTCACATGCAATATGCAGAAAACAACGAAAACATCACCATTCACTGCTCCATAAATAAGCACCTTCAGGAGCATTTTTCTCTTCACAGCAAAAACGAAGATGGTGGGTTTGAGCAACAAGATCAACAACATGATGGTGGTAAAGGTGTGCTTCGTGCTACTTTTCCTTGTGGGGACTTCTACGGCTAGCTTGAGGCTGTCTGAGCTGGGTCTACTCATCAAAAGTAATACTCATCATCACTCAACTGATTACCCTTCAGAACCATGCTGTGATCAATGCATGTGCACAAAGTCACAACCTCCTCAATGCCGCTGTAAAGATGTTAGGCTGAATTCGTGTCACTCAGCTTGCAGTTCATGTATTTGCGCCTTCTCATATCCTGCACAGTGTGTTTGTGTTGACATAACCGACTTCTGTTATAAACCTTGCAAATCCAGTCATTATGATGATGACGACTAGGGTGACTATAATGAACAAGTGTTATGTAAGCTCTCTCAAAAATGGATGAAGCCTTTTCGGGCTTTGTTTGTTTATGTAAGGAGTGACTAAATAAACTCGGAATAAAAGCTCCTTTTTTCTTCTCCCATGCATGATGCATTTGCTTTCTGCAATTCTGGTTCTTCTTTATTCTGATGCATGTTTCTGTGTGTTAAAAGACATTAGGAAGTTAATTTGGTGAGTTTTACTTTTGGCTTTCTGAATTTATACATAAAAAATGAATACATTTAGTAAAATTTATAACCATGATTTTTATAAGTAACACATCTTTTTGAACTTCGAATCTATTTTCTGATGCAAGAGTGTGTTTTCGATAAAACTTGAATAAACTAATGATATGAGTTTATATTATTATTAACGTGTTTTTAATTGGGTTAATACAGTTTTATTCTATCTAAATAGTTATTTTTACGAAAAAGTGTTTTATTTTATGCTAATTTTTCTATAAATTTTCTACTATAATAGTTCATAGATAATAGCTTATATTTCATATAAATTTTCTTACATTTTTTTATTTTTAAAACCTTTTGTATAATTTTTTTTACTTACCTTTTGAAATTACTTTAAAAAAAATTCAATAATGTCAAAGTACCAATGATGGAGATATTGGATGAATTTAGAAAGGGAAGTGATTAATTCAGAAAATGGAAAGTAATAATTTAAGAAATTTAAAACAAATGAAAAGAAATAATTTACCTTATCATTCCAGAGCAAGAGCAAGTGAAAGGCATTAAGAGCCAAATACATGGAAGACCACAGAAAGGAGAAAGCCGAACTTCGACTACTGAAAACAAGTAGGCAATAGATCAAATTTGTGTTGAGTCTTATAAGAATAAATTATTTTATTTTTTAAGGAAAAAATTATTTTATAAAATTATTTTTATACATAAATATTTTTTATATATTTATAATTTTAACGTGAATAAATTTTTTAAATATATATATATATATATATATATATATATATATATATATATACTTTTCTATTTCATAGTTTAGCACATTTTTAATTATTTCACTACCCTATAATCCTTTTCATGTCTAAATTTTTTATTATATGTGAATTTTTTTACTAAAGAATTATTTAAATTAAATAAAAGGATGAATTGAATTGAATTTTTATTTAATATAAAATCTAAATTAATTAAATTAATATTTTAATTTATTTTAAATTTAAAGACAAATCTCAATCATACTAAATCAATACTTTAAATCATTTTTAATTTAAGATAACATTTATATTAAAATAAATCAATATTTTATTCTAAAAATTTAAAAGAAAAATTATGAATTATTTTGTAATAAAATAGTCTCAATTTGTAATTTCTTTTTATTATTATATTCATAATTTTTATTCTTTTCATGTTTAAAAATAAATTACATAATTTTATGAATAAAAATTATAATACAAATTTATTATTATGATTTAATATATATATATATATATATATAATAAAAATATAATTAAATTTAAAACAATTTTAAGACACAGTTAATTCTAAACATAGTATTATATTTTAAAACATATTATAATATAATAAATGATTTATTTATTTTTATTTCCAATTTAAAATCAAAATCAAAATATAAATTTTAGAAAAAGAAGATAATAAATAAATAAATAATAATATTTTCCATTTTTATTTTTCTAAATTAGTATTATATTATTTTTATATTAATTCAGAAATAAAAAATCTCATTAAATAGTTACTTTGAAATTAAATATATTTCGATTAGTTTCATTTTAATTTAATGTAAAATTGATTAAATTAATTAAAATTTCATCAGTTTTGTTATTATAAAATATTTAATTTTTTTTAAATGATACAAAACATTTTCATAACAAATTATTAAATATTATATTTTAAAAAATTATATAAAATTTAAAATATTTTATAATGAAAATTTCTCCAAATTTTTTTATTATGATTATTATTACAGAATAAATCTCTCTCTCATATATATATATATATATATATATATATATATATATATATATATATATAATAGCTTTAAAATTTTATGTAGAATAAAAGTATTTCAATTTTAGACTTTCAATTTTTTTTTACTTGTAATTTATTCTAAAAAATACATAAATAATTAATAATTATCACTTCATAACAGAGATTTGAAATCAGATTTGAAGTTTTTAAAAGATAAAAACTAAATTAAAAATTAAGACTTAATCCAATTAATTACATGGCTATATATAAACCCTTTTTTTTTTGTATATACAGACCTAGCAATAGTAAAAGCAAGCCCCGACAAGATACTCTACATGTGTGCCACCTTTCAAATGCAACGTAGAAAAACACGTACTTTAATTGTTGTTCACTGCTCCATAATTCAAATTTTCATGTTCTATATTCAGATCCTCATGCAGAACATTGAAAGAGACAAGGCATATATAGCAAACAAACTCAGGCATGGTTTCGTGCATGTGTGCCACGTTTCATTATTCAGTGTTTCTTCTGCAAATTTTACAGAAATTACTCTCTTCAAGGGTTTTCTTTACTGCAAAAACAAAAGATGAGTTTGAACAACCTAAAAATCATGATGTTGTTGTTAAAGATGATGGCTACTTATGCTAGTAGGGGTTTACTACTCGCATGGATATGAGTGGTTGGGTCTTTAATTACCAACTGGTTTGTCTTAAACCTTGTGACTATTATAATTATACTGAATTAAGTTGGGACTCGCCTGAAAGACTTTGGTAGAATTACCTCTCACCTATTATAATTATATTTTGATATTATTATTAGATTTTTTCAAGGATTAATAATAGAGATTCTTATATGAAACTATATATAAAAAAATATAACATCACTCTTAATTTAAAATAATTTTAAAACTATTAAATCAATAATTATAAATTATTCAATTTTTTCATTTTTATTTAAGAACTTAAAATTTACACTTAAATTTTTAATTATCTGTTTCAACTCATGATGACTTTTAAGTTTTACAAATATATTAACAGTGAAGATAATTAAAGGTTTCATCAACTTTATTTAATTGAGTAATAATTATAATTATATTAAAAAATTATACATAATCAACCAATTACTCTTACCAAATGCAATCAAATATTTTAAAAAATAATGCAGATCAAAAATAAAGAAATATGAATAAAAAATAAAAACCATTTTTTCAATAACATGAAACTACCAAGAGATAGTTTTAAGATGAATAAAAAGCTTATACTATGATTTTTGTTTTTAATAAAGTTTTAAACATTTTTAAAAAATATATAAAAATTTATATTATAATTTTTTTTACTGTTATATGCAATTATTTTTCATATTTATAAATAAAATAAATAATTTTATAATTAAAATTTATAATACAAAGTTATTATTATTATAATCTAATATATATATATATATATATAATATTAAATTGTAAACAATTTGAAGGCATAATTAATTTTAAATATATATTATATTTAAAATAATATTATAAATATAATAAACAATTTAGTTCAATTTTTTGTTTTAAATCAAAAATCAAAATCAAGTTATATATTTACAAAAATAGATAAAAACATATTTTTTTTATTTTTCTAAATCTGTATTATATTAATTTTTATTAACTTATATTTGAACAAACTCATTTAAATAGTTACTTGAAATTAAATATATTTCCATTAGTTCTATTTCAATTTAATATAAATTTTAAATTAAGTCAATGGATTAAAATTTTGATCAGTTCTATTATTATAAAATTGTGATTTTTTTTAAAGTTTATTTAAAAAAATAATAAATATTTTTATACAAAAATAAGTTTTATACACAAATATTTTATATAAAAAATATATATATTTTATATAAAAAAATCAACTATTGATAAATTCTCATTGTGTGCATGTATACGCTTACAAATCTCTCATAACGGAGTTGATCAAAACTGGGAATAATTACTTAATTAGATGCCAATAATATATATATATATATATATATATATATATATATATATATATATATATATAATGTTGTTATGTAAAAAAACTTATTCATAGTCAAAATTTGGGTCATGCGTTAGGATCATTATTTATTAAGCCAAATAATAAAGTGATCTGATTAAATTAAAGTTTTTATTAAAGACATATGTCATGAAAATAAAATTGTGTAGAAACCATAGAGTAATTTTTAATTTGATGAGGAGCCAAATTGAAAATATTAAAACTTAAGTAATTAACCTAATTCTGGTTATTTAAAGGGTCATGATCCCCTTCTGAGAGCACACACAAAATGTAAGTATCAGTCTCGTTTCTTTTTTTTCAATCCCTATCAAGAGAGAAAATCAAGAGGGAAATTCAGGTGTTCTTCAGGTGGAAGACCATAAGATCAATATAGTGCTCTACAAAGACATCATCATTATGGCTAATTCAGGTACGCTTTCGTATTCAGTTTACAACATATTTATCAGTGTGAGATTACGTTTATGTTTGCTCGTTAGAATCAAAATCAGGATTATAATTATTATTAATTTTCCAACAATTGGTATCAGAGCCGTTCATATTTGATTCATGTCTGTTTAATTTATAGAACCCTAATTATGAAAATTAGGATTAATTTTGTTTTAAATAATTTAAATTACCCAATTTTATGAATCCTAAGTGGAGAATAATCTCCAATTACCGTGAACCCTAAAATTTAAATTTGGGGGTAACATCCCCAATCTGATTCTGCTTGCTGATGGAACCGTGGACGAAGTTATGAATTCTTTTTCTTCTTCGTTTTTCCTTTTTGTTTCCGTTTAAGTTTTATTGAGAAAGAAACAGTGTTTCAAATTTCAATCTTTCTTGTATTGGGTTCTCTATTCTTCTTGAATATTTTGTTTTTGTTTTTGTTTAATTTTATGGGTTTTGTTTTCATTTTCTTTTCATGGTGAATATGGATGAGTTTGGAATTGGGGGTGGTGTTTGGGGAATTCCCAACATAGAGGATTTTAGGCAACTGGTGAATGTTTCCACATATGTGACTATTATTATTTTATTGTCTTTATCCCCTAGAGATTTAAGGAAAATTTGATGTTAAATTCCCTGTTTAGGGTTTGAGTGATTACTGTTTAATCCCCTTTTAGGGTTTAGAACAGTGTGTTAAAGAGACTCAGAACTATTTTTGTTTCATCCCTAGTGTAATTTTAGGGAGATGTTCATCATTTATGTATTGGTGGAAAAAGAGGTGTTTTCATCATTTGATTTGTTTAAAGGAGGTGTTCATCCCTAATGAGATTTTAGGGAGGTGTTCATCCTTAGTAAAATTCTAATAAGGTGATTATCTTTTGAATTAGTTTGCAAATATTAAATATTTGGTTTTGTTATATAAATAAACTATTCAATTTTTGGTAGTTTAATATTTTTTTGTGAGCAAATTGAGTCAAGAAGTCACCAAAGTAACCTCTCTTGAATTGGGCAGTTCATGAAAAATATTAGATGTTAGTGTTTGTGTATATTCATGCGAGTATTAGTCGGCCCAAAGGAAAATTAATATTTGGCCGAATTGCATACACACTTGTAATGATAAACATGTGATAATTATAAGGATTTGCTTTGTCGATGATAAATCAATCCAAAGACTGGTTTGTTGTTGGACGTGTTTTATTATCAATATTTGATTATTACAACAAGATACCTCTAGCAGTTAATATTATTGTTCAAAGACTTTGGGTGTCTTGAGATGGGTTAAACTATTATTTGAATATTTATAATTTTTTTTTATAATGTGAGTATAATTAATTTATTTCTCTTGTTCTTAATTTAGCTACAATTGTTTTTGTATCTACCAATTTAAATTCTGTTACGACCCTCAAAAATATATTTCCTACTTTGATCTGTTCTGAAGTCAATTTAGCGCCAGTACCTAGTAACACTTGGTGGTTAGACTCAGGTGCACCTACTAACATCAGTGTTTCTATGAAGGGTTGCCTAAGCTACCGGAAGCCAATTGATTCTTATAAAAAATAGATATATGTTGGAGATGGCAAATCAGTAGAGGTGGAAGCTATAGGACATTTTAAATTGTTATTGAGTACTGATTTTTATTTGGATTTGAAAGACACTTTTGTTATGCCGTCATTTAGACGAAATTTGATTTCGGTTTCTTATTTGGACAAATTAGGTTATTTGTGTTCATTTAGAAACAATAAGTTCAGTTTGTCTTTTAATTCAGATATTGTTAAAACTGGTTCACTTTTGGCTTATGATAATAAGTATTTACTTGATATTGTGACCACCTATAATAAAACCCTTAATACTGAATCACGTGGTACTAAACGTAAAATTGAAAATACTCATTCAGGTGCATTATGGCACAAGCGCTCAGGTCACAATCGAATCGTGACATTTGAGCTTGTGTTACACTCTTAAAGATATATGATAAGGAGTATGATTTGTCATTCCACCTTACCGGAATCACTATGGGGAGAGACACTAAATACGACAGCTTATATTGTAAATAGAGTACCAAAAGCAGCTACCAAAACACCTTATGAGCTTTGGACTGGGCAACAACCTAGTCTGAAGCATTTTCGTGTGTGGGGTTGTCCAGCTGAGGCAAGGCCTTATAAGCCAAATGAAAAGAAATTGGACTCCCGAACAGTAAGTAGTTATTTTATTGGTTACGCTAAAAGATCCAGGGGATATAAATTTTATGATCCACATTAAAGACAATTTTTGAGATGGGAACTGCTACATTCTTTGAGGATATTGAGTTTGGGGGGAAGAATAAGATTAAGAACTTCATCTTGGAGGAAGAATGGGTAACAATTTCATAACCGATTTAAATAGTTACTTTTGATAAAGTAAGTTCGGAACCTCCACAAGGCATTGTTGATGAACCTCTTACTCAAGATGATTTGGTTGTTCATGAAGAACAAACTCAAGATCCTCAAGAACCTGTGCATCATGAGCCAATAACTTTGCAGAGATCCACTAGAGAAAGAAGAAGTGCTATTTCGGATGATTACATGGTATTTCTTCAAGAACATGAGGAAAATAATGATATAATGGAAGATGACCCAGTTAACTTCCGTCAAGCTATACAAGGTTCTAACTCTCAAAAGTGGATTGAAGCAATGAAGGAGGAGTATAAGTATATGCAAGACAATAAGGTTTGGGAACTTGTCCCCTTACCAGAAGGTATGAAACCCATTGGTTGTAAGTGGATATTTAAGACCAAATGAGATTTTAAAGGTAATGTGGAAATGTATAAGGTTCGTCTGGTAGCTAAGGGTTATACCCAAAAGGAAGGGATTGCCTTTAAAGACTCTTTTAGGACAATCATGGCTCTTGCAGCACATTATGATTTGGAGCTTCATTAAATGGATGTCAAGACGACGTTTCTCAATGGCAACATTAATGAGACGATTTATATGGTACAACCAAAAAATTTTGTGCAGGGAGATTCAAAGAATATGGTTTGCAAACTGACAAAATCCATTTATGGACTAAAACAAGCATCTCATCAATGATACTATAAATTTCATCAAGTAATTCTCTCATTTGGCTTCGAGATGAATATTGTTGATGATTGTGTATATCACAAGTTTAAGGGGAGTAAGTATAATTTCCTGATCTTGTATGTTGATGACATTCTACTTGCCACTAATGATATAGGCATATTGCACAAAACCAATAAATTTTTATCAAAGAATTTTGAAATGAAAGATCTTGGTGATGCGTATTTTGTATTAGGAATTCAGATACACCGAGATTAATGTCGGGGTATTTTAGGATTATCACAAAGGAGCTATATCGAAAAAATTCTTAAAAAGTTTGGCATGTATGAATGTAAATCCGGGGATACTCCAGTTGCTAAGAGAGACAAGTTTAGTCTCAATCAGTGCCCAAAGAGGAATTTGGAAATTGAGAAAATGCAAAAGATTTCCTATGCATCAGTTGTAGGGAGTTTGATCTATGCCTAAGTATGTACACATCCAGACATAGTATACATAGTTGGGGTTCTAGGCAGATATTTAAGCAATTCAAGAATAGACCATTGGAAAACAGCAAAAAGTTCATAAGATATTTAAAGAGAACAAAAGATTATATGCTCACATACAGGAGGTCAGACCAGTTGAAGATCACTGGGTTTTCTTACTCAGATTTTGCAAGATGTCAATAATTTGTAGCATGCTATGAGACATCAAATCATGGAATATGGCTGAGAAATTTTGTCACAGGGCTGCAAATTGTGAAAGGCATTGAAAGACCACTTAAGTTATATTGTGACAACAAATCAACTGTATTGTTAAGGAAAGAGTACAAAGTGGACAGATTTTCATAAAACACGTAAGGACAAACTCCATGATAGCAGATCCTCTAACTAAAGGACTTCTGCCCAATGTCTTTCATAAGTATTTTGCTCACATGGGTGTTTTACAGTTTGAGAAATTTGTGGTTTAGTGGGAGTTAGTCACTTTCATATATTTTATGTTCTATGTTTAGTTTCATATATATATACATTGATTTTTGGACATATTTGGTTATCTATAAATATGCGGTTTTTTCGTTCATTCATTATACTTTGTACATTAAGGATATTATATCGATCTTGATAAGTTAAAGTTTGGACCAGTTGAAAATAGACGTATACAAATCACCTTCACATAATTTTTCATGCTACACATTTCATGATAAATCCATGTCATTTGATTATGTTAGGATGAGTAATCATTGTTGGTTTTAGTTGTGATGATGCAATGAAAAACTTGTTTGGTTCTATATCCTGATATGATTAATGGACATGACTTTTGGAGTATGTTAAAGGAATATAATGACAATTTTGAGCTCATAAAGTCTAACACATTTGTAAGGTTGTAAAGACATATATATTTGTGACTAGTGGGAGATTGTTGGCAAAATTTAGGTCATGTATATATATGATACATAATTAAAATGTGTTATGACCATTATTTATTAAGCTAAATAATAAAGTGATCTCACTAAATTAAAGTTTTGGTTAAAGACATGTATCATGAAAATAAAATTGTGTAGAGACCATAGAGTAATTTCTAATTTGATGAGGGGTCAAATTGGAAATACTAAAACTTAAGTAATTAACCTAATTCTGGTTATTTAAATGGTCATGGTCCCCTTTTGGGAGCACACACACAGAATGTAAGTATCAGTCCGTTCCTTTCTTTCTATCCCATCAAGAGAGAAAATCAAGAGGGAAATACAGGTGTTCTTCAGGTGGAAGACCATAAGATCAATATAATGTTCTACAAAGACATCATTATTATGACTAACTTAGGTACGCTTTCGCATCCAATTTATAACATGTTTATCAGTACGAAATTACGTTTATGTTTGATGATTATAATTAAAATCAGAATTATAATTATTATTAATTTTTGAACCGGAGCAAGCTCAGAGATTACTTTCTGCATGTGTGGAACCTTTTCAAATGCATCTAAGAAAAGGATCAATACATTAATTACTTTTCATCTTCTATCTTGGCATCCTCGCTTACATGAATAACCCACTGAACCTCCTGAAACAGAAGATGTCTATTACAAGCAAACTCAGACATCATATCATGCATATGTGCCACGTTTCATTCACTCTTTTTCTGCAAATTTTACCTAAATAACATCTCTAAATATCTGTAGGGTTCTATTCTATTGTTAATGACATCTCAGGAATGAGAAAAATAAAAATATAATATAATTGAAAAGATGATAATCCAAATCAAACAATCTTCTTGTTTTTTAAAAATCATCTCATTTTTTGTTTTATATTTCAAACAGACTTATAAATTTTTGGGTGATGTGAAAAAAAATCAAATAAACTAAAATAAGTAATATTAAAAAATTGTTAAAAAACACAAATATAAGATATAAAGTAATAAATCTTCTAAGAGATTTTTTCTGAGTTACAAATATTCATATTATGTCAAATTTAAATTTTAAATTAATTAATATTAAGGAAAATTACTTAGAAATTACATTTCAATACATATATTATAGAACTAAATTATAACTATATTTGACTCAAGAGAAAACCAAATAACTTATAGTAATTATATTGATTATTTTAATTAATTTTCTGAATTATATTAACTAATTCTTTTAAATTTATTTAATTATATTGATTAACAATTAACTTTCTTTAATTTATTTTTAATTAATAAAATAGTATGTTTTTATAATAATTAAATTTATTTATTTATGACTATTCTTTTAATAATTAATTATTTTATTAATTTTTCGAATCATATTAATTAATAATTAAATTTCTTCATTTTTATTGAAAAAAAGTCTACATTTTGAATAATTATTTTTCTTTATTTAATAATTGATTTTTTTAATTTAATTAAGACAGTCTAATTTTTAATACTTTGACCATCACTACTTTTATTTTTTTTATTCTACTAAAAAAAATCAAATGTAAGATAATTTTATGGGTTTATTTGAAGATGTATATGTCATTTTGACTAGCTATTTTTATTTTTTATTTATTTTGCTTAAAAAGTCAAAGTTAAGAAAATTCAACCTTTTTATTTATATATTCATTAGTATGTATGATTTAAGATATATTTTTTTAAATTGAAAAGTATTATATATATTCTTATACCTGAAATTCCCAAATTTCAAATATATATAATTTTAACTTGAAAATGTTGGGTGATTTACTATGTTTTCTTAAAAATATAATTTCTTGTATTTAACACTCCTAATTAAAAATATTATAATTATATATAAAAAAAGTTATATATGTTAACCTATTACATCTCCCAATTCGATCACCAAACTAAGATTTAAAAATTAATACAAACAAAAAGAGAAAAATCGATAAAGGTAAATAAAAACATATAAATCTTAATATTGATTTAAATTAAAGAAGTTTAACAATAAAAATACATTTTTTAATTACATTAATTTTTCAACTCAGTCTCAACCTTAATCATTCCAATAAGAATGAAATTAAATATTGGGAACTTTTATTTTTACTTGCCTTAAACATATCCTACATCTTTAATAAATTTAGGAACAACCAAGATAATTAAAGCTTTCACCAACTTCATAATTGAGTAATAATTATAATTATAATTATAATTATAATAAAAAATGATGCTTAATCAACCATTACTCCTATCGAAAGCAATCCAATATTAAAAAAAATGCAGATAAAAACAATAAAAAAAATAAAAAAAGTCTAACCATCTTAAAAAAAAATAAAAAAATTAAAGTACATTTTCCATATGGGAATAAACATGAATCTTTTACTACTTAATAAAATCTAACAAATATAAATTTAAAAATTATAAAAAAATAATAATATTTATTCTATAACCCAAAATAGGAAGGGCAGGGAGAATTAAAAATGTCACCGACCCTTCTTTATTATGATCCCTAAATTAATAATAATTGTAAAAAACTACAGAAGATGTTATTGAATGTGGTATCGTGGGTCCCATTTTGTTGTGCTACATAGTTAGAGTCCTACTAACTAAACATTTCATTTCACAGTTGCTGTTCGGTGTTCTTCTTCACTCTGCTCAGGGACACACTTCTCAGCGCTGTCTTCAGCGTCTATCAGAAGCAGAATTCTCTTCTTCTTCTAGAACCTTCGCCGCTACTTTTTCGTCACTGTCTCTCTCGGTCAACGCGCTCCTCAACACAGGTATCTCTATTTCTCTCTCAAATTCTCCATCAATTATTCTTTTTGTTCACGAATTGCATGTTCCTTCGCTCTTGTTTATGTGATTATGGGGACGATTTTATAGGGTTTTTGTTTCATTCTGCTTCTGAATGTGTGTTTCTTTTGGTTAATTATGTTTTCTTGTTATATTCTCTGATTGTTCTTGGTGGTGCTTTCGGCTCAACGCGTTTTGGTTTTTAGGTTTCAATAGAAAATGCATGTCATGTTTTCTCTATGGGTATGTTGTTGATAGGAATCGTTTCGTCTGGAAAAACCTGCTTGACCACTGTTAATGGCGTTTCCCATTCCGTCTTTCTTTTATTATTTTCTGCTGGCAAGTTATGTCTGTATTTTTGAATCAATTTAGTTTTTATTTGGAGATTGGAAACAGATAGAACATGGGGATAGAAGAATTTGAAAGGTAGAAGATTGAGTGCATTTAGTGGAGAACGTTGAATTTGGGGCTATTTATGATAGCAAGGATGGATGATAAATCTCATGCTGGTTCTTTCTGGTTGGAGGAAATTGATGGGAAGGTTCAGACACCTATGAGGAAGAAAAGGAAATACAGGACAAAGAAAAAGGAATATCAAGGATGGGGATCGACTTCCCTTATTTGGTTTCTTCAATCCATTGGTAGAGATACAACCAAGGAGATAGCTCAAAACGAGGTTGCAAATATTGTAATGGAGTATGTTAAGCAGAAAAATCTCTTTCATAAAACCAAAAAGAAGAGAATTGAGTGTGATGAGAAGCTTCACTCGCTGTTTGGAAGGAAGACCATTAGCCGGTTGAAAATCAATGACTTGCTTGAGTCACACTTTGCGGAGAATTGTGAGGAATCCTCTGATGATATTTTGTTTGACTCAGAAGAGGATGATAATGCCTCTGCAATGTGTGAAACCCCGAGATCAGCACCTTCGGAGAGAAGAAGTCAACCAAAGAAACCGGTTTTTGAAAAACCAAGGAGCTGTTTTGCTGCCATTGTTCCTGCCAACATCAAGCTTGTTTATTTGAAGAGAAGTCTAGTTGAGGAGCTTTTAAAGGACCCTGAAACTTTTGAGACTAAAGTAATTGGAAGCTTCATAAGAATCAAATGTGACCCAAATGATTACCTTCAGAAAAACTCACACCAGCTTTTGCAAGTCACAGGTAATCTGGCCGCTGTTCAGTACTTAAATGCTTTTTCTTTTCTTCTAAACGTACAATTCAGTTTGAATGGGTATATTCATCAATTGCTTATGTTGAATACGTATATTTGTAAGAAGCGGAGGTTTCAAACAGTAAAGTAAACTGAAAATGTATTTTACTTTCTTTTTTACATCATTGGTTTAGGTCACATGTATCTGAGCATCTGCCAAATTAGTCAAATTTGCTTGATTAAAGAATTTGGAGTAGTTACAATGATAACAACGAACAAAATTATCTAATCCTGTAACATCACTCTGGTTGAAATTCTCATAAATAAACCAAATCCCAATGTGCTTACTATTTATTTTTTTGACAGCCACAATTTGCTTTTTATTATGAACTCTGTTTTGTCATTATTAGCATGGGGTCTAATTGGACGAGTTTTTCCATAAGCTCTTCTAGAAGAGAAAAATAAGAAGAAAAGAATGAAATTAACTTCTCTGAAAATTATTATCATGTGCTGCATTTCGACGTCATTAATACAGGTCACGTGTCAGTTATGATTCATCCTAATAGAATACTTTAGAGTATTCACAATGAATAACAATGAACAAAAATGCTCTAATCGATTTGCTTTCCAGTTAATTTTCTATGGGTTCCTTCCTGGAATTGTTTTTCTTAGTATTTTCTATTAATTTATCATTAAATTATGAGTTTGGCATGCAACTGACAATTGTATATGACAGATATAGAAAAATTAGACAATGACATTTATTTCTTCTAATTAGCTGAAGTATAGTTTTTTTTTTCTGGGCTATTATCCAGGTATTAAAAAGAGTTCTGAAGTAAATGGTGAAATTCACCTTCAAGCTTCTGGTTTCATGAAGGACATTAAAATTCAAATGCTTTCAGATGATAATTTCTCTGAGGTACGTTTTATCTTGCTACCTTTAACTTTATTTAGCCAAAATAGAAGACTCTGTTACTGAGGGTTAAATTAACTAGTAGGATAAAATTGTATTGACATAAACCCAGTTTGAATAAACTTCTTACCAAGCATTTAAGAGAAGAAAATAAAGAGGTTTAATGAATCAAATTTCTCCCACTAGTTTTCTTGAAGCTGTCTAATCAAATTTCTCCTATGGGTGTCTGTTGGGAAATTTATCTAAATGAGGCCTTAAAGGTCTGTTGACTCAAAGGTCCTTTGCAAGTACCATTTAAACAGCTTGATCTTGCCATGAACTTTGAATGCTGCAACTTTTCCTTCCCCCAAGTTGTTGACACTGGTGCTAAGCCAAAAAGTACCTACGTATCTGTATTTAATCATTGTTCTTGTTTCTAATCAAATTAATGCTTGATTACTTCAGTTACAATTTTAAATAAGCACATGTTAAGCAAGTTGATGGTGGGTTTGAGTTTATGTAACTTTGGTTTCAGGAGGAGTGTGAGGATTTGCACCAAAGAGTAAAAGATGGCTTGGTCAAGAGACCTATGACTGTGAGCTCTTTTAATTGCTTTGAATTATTTTTTAAAAAATGGTGAAATTCCTGCAGCACTATAATAATTCATTTCCATAGATTGTCAACTGAAAGGAATAAAGAGAAATGTCTTCTGTATACATGGACGTCTGTTTGACTCTAGATACTGTGTCTCATGCTTTAAATGAATTTGAATAATGTGATAATATCACATTTTCTTCTATACATGTTAGGTGGATATGGAGCACACAGCAAGATTGTTGCATGAGGATATGACAAAGCATGTATGTACTGAACTGTAGCTGAACCTTGTGTTTTAATTGCTTTGAATGTGTTTCAGTTCATGATTCTCATAATTTCTCAAGAGACAACTTTTGCTCAAGCGACAACTTTCGCTCAAGCGAAAGTTTCCTATTTTCGCTCAAGCGACAAAACGCTCGTTTTAGCGAGTGAACTTCAGAGAAGAATAATTAACATTCGCTCAAGCAAATTTTTTTGTGCTTGAGCGATTGACTTCCAGAAAAGAATAACTGATATTCGTTCAAGCAAGAGTCTATCTCGCTCGAACGACTTCCATGTTGAAAATCTTCTTCCTTCTTCCAGCTTTACTTCAATTATGCTGACAATTATACTCGTTACTCTTGTATCAAGTTATTCTCGAATTCATCCTATATTGGGAGAAAAAGATATTAGAATTAACATAAGTTAAGTGGTTTCATAACAACTCAAGGCATAATTATATCAACTTTTTATTACTTAACAGACACAGTGAAAATAGCTTGAAATATATCATATAAATGCCAAATATTGTTTAGATTTCAATATAATAGTTTTTACCAATAATAAATTGACCAAATAGCTTGACCACAAGTCTCACTTAACCAAAATCACAAGTCATAATTGACCAAATGTCCTCTATTTCATCCTGTTGCCAACACCACCTAGTCTATGTTTGATAATAGATTATTTTCAGGAAAGAATTGCTTTTTCTTCAAAAGCTATCTTTGAAAGCTGATATTAAAGAAGCAATCTTCAATATATGCTGGAGTAAACACACACCTAATGGGAAAAGACTTAGTTATTGTTGTATACTATAAGTAGTCAGATGGAGTAATATCTGAGGCACTCCCACTTTTTACTCTCATGTTGCTGTCTGCTGATGCGTTTGTTGTTGTAATATGTTCCAGGAAAAGCCAAAATTCAGTTCTATAGAAGCTTGTCTTTTTCATATTTATATTATGGTTTTCTATTCTCAATACTTTGCAATGCTTGAGGCTAACCGTGCTCCATTGCAAATTACATAAAAAATGATGATAACTTCATTTGCATGTTCTACTTTAATTGACCAACCGGCACTATCACATCATAAATAGAATTTGCCATTCAGTGTCACGTTCTGTCACCTCTGTACAGTATTACTCTTGGAAATATAGAACACTTGAGTTCAAGTATTTGATATTTATGGTGTTTATTTTTACATTCTAGCCATACCTTAATATTTTTTCCCATTCTTGGTGATGTTTGTCTGTTTGTAAAATATTAATTTTTACATGCATGCGTGTGTATACCTGTCCTGTGTGTTCTGTGTTTATATTGAAACTGTGCATGCACTTAACATGCCTGTTTCACATAAGAATTTATTTTTTACCCTTTTTATATCTGTGTTTATTTTCGCCTAAATTTACACTAATATTTCCTAATACCTGCTTTCTTTTTATGTGGTCATTTTCTTTCAGTGGCTTGCTAGAGAACTTGCTCTACTACAAAACCTTATTGATCGAGCTAATGAAAAGGGTTGGCGTAGAGAATATCCTTTTCTGTCATTTATGACAATATTTTCTATATTGTAGAATGTCGTCCCAACATTTTTACATCAGAAGATGGCAACAACCTAGTTATCACAGTACACTACTCTTGTTATACTGCTAAATCTATTATTCAGTAGATACTTTTGTAGATTATTAACTGTACTATTTATCATACATAAAAACCATTGGCTATTTATGGCAATCTATATATACATAGTAACCCATGACAACTTCATGATCCTTGATTGTTAGATTTCTAGTTCTATTTATTTGTTTTGCAAATAATAATATTGAGTTGCATATTCAACTAATAAATAAATAATAAAAAATTTGTTGCCATAATTGTTTTTCAGCACACTATTTTTATACTTGTTGATATTGGGAAAAATTCAAGTCCCATATTTATTAGAGATATCTAAACAGTGCATAAGCAACCCTCACCTTATGAGGTGACTTTTGGGGTTGAATTTGGCCTAAACCCAAATTGAAAGCTGGTATTAGCTACATCCATTATTGGGCTTCTCTTCGTATTATTCACGTATCAAGCTCCAAAGTTTTGGGCGTGAGGGAGTGTATTGACAAAAACACAAGTCTCACATTAACTAGAAATAGTGTTTGAGTAAGTATGTATAATTGGGGGGACAACCCTCACCTTATGAGCTAGCTTTTGGGATTGAGTCACAAATCAATTATTGTTCAGTCTGTCTGGGATTCATCTGACAGTGGTATAATTCTTCTTTAATTGGGTAATATTTCCTGCATCAATTCTTTCAACGGCATATTGATAGATTTAGGGTGAAGCTTATTTCTCTTCTGAACCACATCACATACCTTGGATATTACTCAATGGCTCTGCAAACCTCAATCACTTGAGTTATGCTCAAGTGACATTTGAGAGGAGAGGGGGCAGCTTCTTTGCTTCTCTTAAATGCAGCATGCTGACCTATCTGCTATTTAATATAACTAAATACCATGGTAGAGATGCTTCTCTCTCGAAAGTCATACTGACTGACAGTAGTACAGATACTCCTGATTTAGAAAGCAGTCAGTTGTGGTAATCAACATTGTGCATTAGAATGCTGTCTGATCATGTGTATAGTGCTATATGCTTTGTTTAGTGATCCTTTTTAAGGCAAAAACTGTAAGAAAGGTTTTGTTTGAAACAAGGATTCCTTAATCAATTTGAAGTACACTGGATGAATACCTACAGAGAAGAGAAAAGCTTCAGAAACCTGATGAGCAGGAGCGGTTACTGTCTGAATTTCCTCAAGTTATTGCAGATGATCAAGAATCAGAATCTACCACTCCAGATGATCGAGATAAAAAAGTAGAAAACAATTTAGAGGAGTTCTGGCAGGCTACCTGTACAAAATCATCTTTAGTGACTGAGGACCCAGAGGCAGTTGCAAATGCAAAACTGGATATTGCCGATCTTGTAAAACTACAAAGCAATTCACCAAAATCAATTCCCATTAAAGCACCAGAAGTTCCTCTTTTGGATTTCACAAAGAATAGCACTATGTTGAATTGCATTTTTCCTGACACTGCAGGTTTGTTGGAAACATTTTCATTTTCCATGTTCTCCCTTATACTTTAAGCGTTTTTTTTATCTGTGAATGTATTTGATGGTAATATTGCAGTACTTACTCATCTGAGCCTATGCTAATGTCATTCCTTCATATTCTTGGCGTATTTTGGCAGAGCACCAAGCCAGTGGCATACCTGTCCAACAGCTGCCAGAGCAACAAACAGACTTTACATGTGAGAATGACATGTCTAAGCCAGCCAAATCACATGAAGCAAAGATCTCCCAGTCACTGCTGCCCGACAAACAGATATTGCCATCTCAGATTCATGTAGAGCTAAGCAATGGCTTATCTGTCGAACAGCTGCAAGAACAACAAAGAGACTCTGCAGATAAAAATGGTACATCTAAGCCATACAAATTACATGAAGAGAAGATCTCTCTAGCATTTCCCCACAATCAGATAGAGCCATCTCAGGTTGAGGTTATAGACCTAACTGATGCCTTATCTGTCCAACAGACGAGAGAGGAACAGACAAACTTCTCACATAAGAATGGCATGTCTAAGCCAGCCGAATCACATGAAGTGAAGATCTCTCAAGCACTGCCCAACAGACAGATACAGCCATCACAGTTTGATGTTGTAGAGCTAAATGATGACTTACCTGTGCAACAGCTGCCAGAGCAACACACTGACTTTGCATATAAGAATAACATGTCTAAGCCAGCTGAATCACATGAAGCGGAGGTCTCTCTACCACTGCCCAGCAACCAAATACAGCCATCTCAGGTTCAGGTTACACTGTCCAGCAAACAAATACAGCCATCTCAGAATCAAGAAGTTACACTGCCCAGCAAAAAAATACAGCCATCTCAGATTCAGGTTATATTGCTAAGCGATGATGATGAAGATGAAGAAAAAGAAAATGAAAAAGCAAGTACTACAAATTTGGTTCCTGCTGTGCAGTTGGATACCTTGATGTGGCATTACAGAGACCCCACGGGTAACGTACAAGGACCATTTTCCTTGACTTCCCTGAAACGTTGGAGTGATGCTGGGTACTTTACTGCAGATTTCAAGGTCTGGAAGTCAGGTAATAGGCAGAATGAAAGTGTATTACTGGTGAATATACTAGCCCAATTTTTTCCCATTCGATCAAATTTCATTTGATGCGCATTGTAGAATCCAGCTCAATAAATTTGTTGTCATTCCTAGGCAACCAACCAACTTACAACTTAACTCTAACTAAAAGCTTTTAGGTCTCTAATTGAAATAATTTTCCTCCTCATCCTTGCTCGTCTATCTCTATACCTGATCAAGTTGAATCGATAATGTTGAATTACTAGAAGTTTCATATTGAGTAAACCAAACTGTCGGATGAGAAACCCTTCCCTCTAATGGATTAGTCATTTGGGCTGGATTCTCCACCAGAATTAGAGTCAACATATTCATGCATGATGCATCTTAATTCTGAATGGTATATTGTACGGACGATGTGAGGTGATGTTGCAATACTGAAGCGCTGGCTACGGTTGTACAAACCAATAGACGTGGTAAGGAGTTTGATGCAATAGACATGAATCCACGATGGGAGTATTGTGATTGCGCTAACATGAGATCTTTCTCAAATTGTTCTCAACGCCACTTTGGGATTCTTCTTCACTCAGTGAGTGGTTGACTTAATAATCACTTGCTTGGATTTTGTTGGATAAAATGCATCTTCTTATCCTTATAGAAAATTTGACTATTCAAAAGATTTCATGGTAAAAAATAAAATAAAATAAAATAAAATGAATAGATTTATTTTGTTCATAGATAAAATCAAATAAATTTTAACTACCTTACTTTATCGATCAGATTTGTCTTGTGCACTAGCAGAATTAAATGAAACTATATCATGTGATTTTGATTCAATAATCACTCAATTGAGTTTGGTTGGACGAACTTGTGAAATGCAACAAAAGTAATTTTGTAAAATTTTTAGTTTAATTTTCTATATTAATATTTTTAGAAATAAAAACTATATGACATGATTTGTTGAAAAAACTTTTTTTTTCTATTTAGCTTGAGAGAAAAAAAAACATAATACGTGCATAGATCAATAATTATAATGAAACACGTCAAAATACTAATATAAAAAAGTCTATAATAAAGTTTAAATTAAATAGTTACATTTTGTAATTGCTAGAATAAAAGTTTAAAATAATATCACATTAAGAGAATGGCCAATCTTATTTTTTTGTGACGTATAAAAACTTTACTTTATGTATAATTATTTTGTGAAATTATTAATGATCATTTAGCATAATTTTTAAATATCAATAATTACATTTACTATTTTTACTTTGTTTCAGAGACTACATTACTTTTATGTAGTATAATTTTAAAATTTAATACCTACATTTATTAGTTTAATTGTGAAAGGCATTACCATACTTTCTTTTTTATATAAGTGAACCAAGTTGATATGATTGTACAAAAACATGGTTCATGATTCAATATGTAAAAAAAAAATATTCGTGAAAATTTCAAATCAATTTATTATATTTAAAATTAATCACCCTTCGAAAAAATAAGGATATAAAAATAAACTTAACTATTTTTATTAAATCATTAATTCATATAATATAAGACGACCTTCTTAAACAAAATCTCCAATTCAAACATTTTGAATTAAAAACCATTATTGAAAAAAACAACACTCGTGACACGAATATAAATCTTTTAGTTATATTATTTATTATTAATTAAACTTTATAATAAATCATAAAATTGTATAACTTTTAGCTCATTATTTAAATGACGTAATTTTAATTTTAATTTTTAATTAACCAGTGTTCAGTGATTATTTACAACTATCATAGTATTAAAAGAAATGATTAGTGGAATTAAAAAATGTGTGGAAGTAGAATAACAGTAATAATTTGAAAAGGTTAGATAGTAAAATAAAAGCAATTAAATAAAATGAGGCACTGGGAGGTTTCAAGGGTTTTCTAGCACATTTTGGCGGAAAACCTCAGCGTAGTCACTAACACTACACTCTGCCGCCGATTATTTATCGAAACCGATAATTTCTCTGTGCCCTAGCGCCTCTTCCGCCGCTGCTAACCACCGTTTCTCTTGCCGCTTCCGCTACCGATCGAACCTTCTCCTGCCAAGTTTAGGTAACTCGCATTCTTCCCTCTGATCTGGTGCTGCTTGAGTCGTCATTTACTGCATCGCCACCCTCGCAGTGTGATTTAGGGTTTTTTCTTTTGGATATATTGTTATTATAATCATATTGCGCGTTTTCTACGTTCGGAAAACGCTTCAATCTGTATTGTTTTGTTAAGAGAAAACTGTTTTTTAGTTTAAAACTAACTTGCTGCATTTCTGGATTCGTCGTTAATATGTTCTCTTCGCGGTGTTTGAGTTTGAAAATAACATGCTCCATTTCTGGATTCGTCGCTAATATGTTCACTTCCGCGGTGTTTGAGTTTGTAACTAACTTGCTTTAGCGAACCTTTGATTCTCAGAAGCACATTCTCTGTTGCTGGATTTAGTTATCGCGTGCGAAAATTCTCGGAATATTTTGAATCCAAGCAATCATGCACGCGCCAGTTCTAGTTCTCAGTAAGTTCTTTCTCTTCTCTTACGCTCATAATTTCTCCTTTTCTTTATTTTTATTGATTTTAAGTGGCTTTGCATTTTGTTTGCGTTTCTTCAATTTGATTTTGCAGAGGACTCTTTGAAACGAGAGTCTGGAACTAAAGTGCGATATGGTGTTATTCAGGCAGCAAAGGTATTGCATATTACCAACCGAGGCTCTGTTTGGGAGAATTTTTATATATGCATTAATATAGGAGAGAGAAAAAAAAAGTCTTCTATAATTATGTATACTTAACTTTTATAGAAGTTATCGTCTAACTTTTTCAAAACACGAGGCTCATAAGTTGATTATAGAGGGTATGAAGGAAATTATTCAAACAGAACCTAACTAGCCATTGCAATTGTTCATTTGCTGTTTCGAATGTAATATTTCTGGCAAATGGCAGGCTGTTGCTGATGTAGTCCGTACAACACTGGGACCCAGGTCCATGCTAAAAATGCTTCTTGATGCTCAAGGAGGTTGGTGTGTTTATTTTTTTACATCAAATTACAGCTTATTGAGGACCCTGGTATCCTGTTCATTTATGTAAGGCCTATTTATTCTTTTTGCTTGCAAATGAACAGGAATTGTGGTTACCAATGATGGAAATGCTATCTTACGTGAATTAGACCTTGCTCACCCTGCTGCGAAGGTATTTGTTTGTCATACATGCATTATACACACAGCAGCCAAACTTTGACTTCCAAAAGCATCACAACTGTATTTTTTAGGTTTAGTTTCTCATTATTGTGAAACTTTGTAACAATGTTCACTTATTGGAATGTAAACAGTCTATGATTGAATTAAGTCGCACCCAAGATGAAGAAGTAGGAGATGGAACAACATCCGTCATCATTCTTGGTATGTTTCTGTATGATTTAACAGAAAATTCTGTATTTAGTTATATTGTATTCTGAATGGAAGATCAGATTATTGGGCACCATATTATCTTACAATATTCAATATCTTGTATTTTTGGTGTGCAGCTGGTGAGATGCTTCATGTTGCTGATGCTTTCATTGACAAAATTCACCCTACAGTTATTTGCCGAGGTAACTTAAGAGCATACTGTTAATTATTGTTTCTCTCCTAGAAGGTATTATATTGTTTATATAAATTAATGCTATAATTTTGTAATCTGCAGCATATGCCAAAGCTTTGGAGGATGCTATTGCTGTTCTTGACAAAATTGCAATGCCTATTGATGCTCAGGATCGTAAGTTTTATTTCTGGTTTTTTTATTTTCGTTCAAACTTCTGTCCTCTCAATAATAGGAAAAAAAAAATTTACCCTCTGCTAATGTTAAGGGATTGGCTAAGTGAAGAAAGACAGTCTTGCATTTGACAAGTTGCAAAGTCGAGTCTCCACTTATTTTTATAGGGATGAGTCAAAAGGTGACCGCTGTAAGTGCAGAGGCATTTTCTGGGGCACCATCTCTTCCCCTTAAAATTTTTGTACCCAAAAAGGCTTATAGTGTGCTAAACTTTTTTCAATTCTATGCTCTAATTTCTTGTAGATGAAGAGTCTAGGTGGGTTTCTAAAATCCGTGTAGTTTGGTATTACGGATGTGATTTTTTAAAGTTTGGCAGTACGTTCTTGGATTCAATTTAGTGTAAAATCTTATAGCAATTTGAGTAATATACATAAACAATACATGACTGCTCCATTTACTTTATGTATAACTGAATTCGATGATTAATTAAACTGCAGGAGGTATAATGCTGGGGCTAGTAAAAAGCTGCATAGGTACCAAATTCACAGGTCAATTTGGGGATTTAATTGCTGTGAGTTTCCCTGCTATTTTCCTAATTGTTCTGTGTTTTTTTATGTAATTGTTGAGCTGTATGTTTATTCTGGTAAATGATTATTCTTTGAATTCTGTTATAAACCAAATTCAAGATGTGGGTCAGATTCTAGATTGTGTAGAAAGCATCCCAAAATGTTGCTTCTGTACTCAAGGAAATTTTTTAAAATAGCAGACCAGAATTAGTAACAGGTAGTATAGGACATGTATCTGTGTAATAGGGCGGTTATATGGGAAGACAATTTTGTAGCACAGTTATTCAATTTTATGTGTTGTAGTTATCTATAGGGTGTGGTCAGGTTCTGATATGTCTTGGGTGGTTTTCTGTTGTGTAAGTCTGAATATTTTCCTCAAAGGAGAGCCTTGGCCCTAAGCCTGGTAGGCAATTTACCTTCTTGATTTGTGTATGGTGTGGGATTCAATGTTGTTTGTCTAAAACCCTATCATCCTACATAAAAGGAAGCCTTTTCAGTGTCGCTGATGGGGAGCGGGGCTCACAGATGTACATTTTTTTCTATTAAAGCGTGGCTTGTTCATCATCTATATGATTTTGGCTTATTAATGAATGTGCTGTAAGTTATCTTCATTTAGCTAGATGGGCCCCTGGAATTAGTTGATTTGTCTATGAATTCATCAAACTAAGATATTTTTCTTTATCTTTAATTTGTATAGATATGTGAAAATTTAGCAAATTATAATGATTTCATTTCATTTAGCTCTTGCTCTTCAGCGTTGTTGTTTCCTGCTTGAGTGAATAGTATTTAAACCTGATGCTGCTTGAGTGTTGATAATGATTATATCTTTCTGTAATTACATTGCATTTCTGGGTCTGTTGAATTGTATCTTCCTTGGTTACTTTCAGGATTTAGCTATTGATGCTACTACAACAGTGGGTGTTGAGATTGGCCAAGGTTTAAGAGATGTAGATATTAAAAATTATATTAAGGTTGAGAAGGTCCCTGGTGGGCAACTGGAGGATTCAAGAGTACTCAAGGGAGTTATGATTAACAAAGATGTGGTTGCCCCCGGAAAAATGAGGAGAAAGATTGTTAACCCACGGATCATTCTTCTTGATTGTCCCCTTGAGTATAAAAAGGGTGAAAACCAAACAAATGCCGAACTGCTCAAAGAAGAAGACTGGAGTCTCTTATTAAAGATGGAAGAAGAATATATTGAGGAGCTCTGCATGCAGATATTGAAGTTTAAGCCTGACTTGGTAATCACAGAGAAGGGTCTGAGTGATTTGGCTTGCCATTATCTGAGCAAGCATGGAGTTAGTGCACTCAGGAGGCTTAGAAAAACTGATAATAATAGGATTGCTAAGGCATGTGGTGCTGTTATTGTGAACAGACCAGATGAATTGCAGGAGTCTGATGTTGGTACTGGTGCTGGGTTATTTGAGGTTAAGAAAATTGGAGATGAGTACTTTGCATTTATTGTTGATTGCAAAGACCCCAAAGCATGCACTGTACTACTAAGGGGTGCTAGTAAGGATCTCTTAAATGAAGTAGAAAGAAACTTGCAGGTAAGTTATTCACTTTTTCTAAGAATTTAGATTTGATCATACTGCTACCTGAAACTTGTTTTGTTTTCTCAGGATGCCATGTCTGTTGCAAGGAACATAATAAAAAATCCAAAACTTGTTCCTGGAGGTGGTGCAACAGAGTTGACAGTGTCAGCTGCCTTGAAACAGAAGAGTTCATCTATTGAGGGCATAGAAAAGGTGAGTGTTGTTTCTATGAACCAGTGGCAGTACTGTTTTATATGAGGTGGATTCTAGTTCTCTCATCTGTAGTAGCAGTTTACACTGGTTCTCACTTAAGATTTTTGTTTACTAACAGTGGCCTTATGAAGCGGCTGCCATTGCTTTTGAAGCTATACCACGAACTTTGGCACAAAATTGTGGAGTAAATGTCATCCGGACTATGACTGCTCTGCAAGGAAAAGTAAGAATAGTTTGCTAATAGTACTTGTATACTTCATATGTTCTATGAAAGATCTGCTCATTTTTAACATTTGTTCTCTAAAATAATAGCATGCAAATGGAGAAAATGCATGGATTGGTATAGATGGAAATACTGGTAGTATCACTGACATGAAAGAGCGCAAGGTACTTCACTCTCGTCCTATTCTGTTGCGTATGTATATTATAAATGAAACCAAAACTACCATTTATTTATCACATTAGACTTAGATTTGACATCTCAGCTACTCCCAGAAGAGGCAACATAGTGAATAAAAGCCTGTGTTGATTTCCTTAGCAGAATAGTCATTATCTTACTTTACCCCTTTACCTTGTTTCAAAGTATTCGTACATAATGCTACCATCTTGATAAGCATATATGTCAGCAAGTGACTCAAAATGTTCTATTCTAATGTGGTGTTAGATCTGGGATGCCTACAATGTGAAGGTGCAAGCTTTTAAGACTGCCATTGAAGCTGCTTGCATGCTTCTGAGGATCGATGATATAGTGAGTGGGATCAAGAAGAAGCAGGCCGGAGCTTCAGGTCCTTCAAAACCCAAGATTGAGACCGAGGCAGATGCTGACAGTGAGCAAATCCTTCCTGACTGAGAATCTACGTTCAACTGACATTGCTTTTTGATAGATTTGATGATGTGCTAGGTTCTTGGTCTTCCTTCAGTTATCACTATTCTTAGGAGTTTTGCGTCCTTCACTGTGCTGCTTTTTTGTGCCTTGTATTGTTTGCAAGCGCAAATTGTCAACTTTGTTTATTCTAAAGACTATATTAACTTGCGTATGCTTTATTGGGTGTTTTTGGTCCACTGTCGAGATATTGTGCCGGGGTCAAACATACCAGTTTCACCAATTTTGTTGATCTGTATGGTTTTTCATCCTATTCGTTTGTGAAATGTTTTTCACGTCTTAATATCCATGCACTCCCTTAGAACTATATATGGTAAATTATAGTGAAATGTTTATTTTTTGCTGGTAAGATAGTGTTCTATTTCTGAAAAAATGAAATTGCATAAAAGGTGTCCTCTGCCAATGTAACGATGTCATTGGAAGGCAGTGGCCGATTAGCTCGCGAGTGATTCATTGATTACCACGTTCTTTAGAAAAGTACAAGATCTTATGCTTGCGATGGATATTTGATGTTGCAAAGCTACGTGATTCTAGTTTGTCGACCAACATTTTCTGAGAAATTGAAATAAAAGTTTAAATTTTTCAACAAGATGTTCTTCAGTCGAAGCCGTCCTTGTACTTGCGCCAGTGATGTAAAAATGTTAAACTATTGTTAAATGGTTCGTATGAACTATAATTTTTATTTTATGTAATGCTAACTGACGTCAACAGATTAAAATGTAGTAAAAATGTTAGAATTTAATTAGAATATAATGTATTTTTTTTATATTATCATTTAATAATCAATTATTCTCTATAGGAATGTCATTATTGTAATTATTATTAAAGTGATATCTAAGGTTAATTTATATGAATTTAATTATGAAAATTAAAGTCAATAGTAACATTACTTGTATGCATGTTTCTTGTATAGAATAATTTAAGAGATTGAGATAATGATTAGATGATATAACTATATCCCCAGTTAATTGATTTGTATAAAATGGCATATTTTTAAACCTACAAATAAAGGTGGGGGCAAGGAACTAATGGTGCTAGCTCTCGAAATTCAATTCGAGAAATTTAAATGATTATGCGTGCCCATGTCTTAAAATTCTGATTTAAGTAAATTTAATTTTGGTTTAGTTCATTTTACGTGCATACTCGTTTGCTGTAAAAACTTATACAGCTATTAAACAAATAAAAACATTTCTCCATTAAAAAATATAAATCTTCTAGTTATAAGTTACAGCCAGTTTTCCCAACCTTGGGTTATTTTCATATTCATCCTTAACATCCTTGATAGTGTTGCAATTCCAATAACCAATTAAGGGTTACTACAACATCAAAACTCAATTATGAGTAAAAATATTTATAATCTAGACAAATTTAAACAGCCATAAAAATAACTTTTTTCAGAGTTTAATAATGTAAAGTTTATAGATAAATAAATGTATGGTTTGTTATTAAATAAAGGCCATTACAGTTGCTCCGAATTTAAATCGTCACGGCGGGTGGTCCGCAATAACACCCCTACACACGCATTTGATGTGTGTATCACATAATTGACAACCAGATATTATATGATTTCACAGTTAATGAAAAGTACAACCAGAGGGCAACATATATGTCCACACTAGAAAAGCGAACTATCACCAAAACTTATATCTTAATAATGAGTGCAATATCTTGTTGCACAATACAAACATTATTGCTAACACAATCAGACATAGGTATCAACGAGGGATTTTCTCATCTCGTCAACAATGGCACTGGGCTGAGCTTCTCTCAGCTTGAAAACACTCTCAATTACAGATAGCTCTGTTGCTGTGGTGTCTGAACCACAAAATGCTGTCCAATCATTGACTGTCATTCCAGCTGCTATTACCTCACTTCCCCGGTTCACGGTCCCAGCCACTAAAGGAACCTGAAGAAGTGTAGAAAGCTCATCCAAGTCTTCTATGGAGGTATGAGGGTGGACCTGCATCAAGTGTATGGTCAAAAGACAGTATATAGATGTCTATATTATGAATTTATAATAGATAATATATTTTACTCACCAAACCACCTCTATTGGAGAAGGCACAGTAACTACCAACAAGAATGTTGCCAGCAATGGTCTGCCTGAAAACTTCCACTCCAAGAACATCTGCAATCATCTCTTCTGTCTCCTGAACAAAAACTTAACATTGAATAGTCGAGCTAGCCAAGATTTTTATACATAAAATCAAAGATAGATGCCAATAACAATGATGGATAAAAAACGGTTTGAGGGTCAAATGGGATTCCTATACATTATAAGATCAGTGTTAATATTGACACCTGTATGGAAAATTACCTTCATATGCATAGTAATAAGAGAACATGTTTGGCAGAGAAACAAGAGTTGATTTGGTACTTCGCAGAAAACTAGCAAGTATAACATTTTCAGTTATAAACGGATTTGTTTGATCAACAAAAAGTACCATTAGGTCATCAAATTCCCTAGGCTTTGATAAATGCTAATATTGAGTTGTCAAAATTTAAGGCGCTCAGAATCAGAGAGACTGACAATATATATGTGATAATTAGTCCATTTACTTATTTTACTTCCTTGCTTAACATGAAAGTATAAGTCTCCCCAAATCAATTTCCAATGTTACACATGAACAAACAGTTACAGAAAAAAATCATTAGTCCACAATAAGGCAATACCCTGTCAAGATCAGTGTGTGTGAGGGCCACGTGGTCATTACATGCTATACAATTCCCCAGAGCAGATAACCTTTCATCTATACGCTGAACAACAACTTGATCGGGTAGACTGTTTCTCAAATGTTGAAGTTCTACAGCAATAAAAGTGACAATAAGACCAAACACCACAAGTCAGTATATATTACTAGAGTAGACTTATATACCACCAACAAAAATGGTAAGATAGTTAATAAACATAATGTCAAACCAGAAATCCCATCCTCGGGTCTCAAAACATAGAGAATTTTTACAAGCTAAGATAAATAAGAAATGATCAAAACCCAGTGAGAAATGGAAATAAATACTGAAAGCATAGAGACTAGAATGTTAATAAAGATGAGATACTAGCAAACAAATGAACAGAATTCAGAATCTCAATGAAATCAGCTAATTGCACAACCACAAGACCCATCAAAAACACCATGTCAATTATTTGGTATTTAAACTAGTAGATTTGTTATTCTTTTCAATTACAACTACATAAGCAATACTAATCAATGTTTTTTTATCAAAATAAGCAATTATCCATCCAATGTGCTAACAGCCATCGAAATCTTCAGTCATGTTGGGTAACTGCCTGACATATTTTATTCACGAAGTAAATAGCACATGATATTAAAATATTATCGTAAAGTACAAAGAATCATAACAAAAACAACAAAAGTAAGAATCACCTTGATCTGTGGTGGTATGTGGCAAGAGAAGCCCATTCTTGTTTCCTGCAAACCAATAGAAAGGAAATTAGTTAGGTCCAATCCAAGAAAGGAACAATAAATAGAAGAAGGAACAAATGTAGTTCCTCTGAAAATTAACAAGATAAATAATTAAATATATAGGTTGAAACCAGCTAAACTGTGATATGGACTAATACTACTTGAGGAACCAAGAGAACACATGAGGATAGTAAAAACTTTACCAGCACAAAGCCGACCAATAATTCGAGTACCACCAATGGATGTCTTGACCACAGGGATAACATCCGCTAACTCAGCTTCAAATACACTGTATCAAGCAACATATTAAATTCATCTATAAAACTATCATAACAAATTGAAACATATATATATATATATATATATATATAATCAATGTTTTCTAAAGTTCATAATGAATGAAAACCTGTAGAAGCTTTCAGAACCTCCAATTGCAACCAAGCAGTAGGCATTGGTAAGTTTGGAGAAGACTCCAACTTCACAATTATTTTCAAACTGAAGTCCTGCACGAAATCCATGGTCATTCAATACGTTAATTTAAAAAATAAAAAATATTTTCACCAAAGAAGACCGTAAAGTATTAGACACACTAAACAACATAAATGAGTAAACTTTAGGTACCAATTAAACAGATAGGGAAAACATATATGTTTCACTTACTAGTTGCCATGATTGAGAATGACAGAAATCTTTGACCCAAGTAATCAAATTGAAGATCTACAACCGGAACTGAAATCAGAAAAACAAATATGAAAATAAATTTAAACAATATACACCTCATATCTAAAACATAAAACCCTCACATACTCTCAACCTGCTTATGCAGGTCTTCAGCTTAGACTTTACATTATGGTATTGGAATGTGAATGTTAAGATAAAACTTTTTATGAAAAACAAATAGACGGGGTTAACTTTGTTCAAACCAACTCTTCCATGGGTAGTGTCAGTTAACAAACTCACAAATAACTAACTATAACTGATGTTCACCAAAATGAAATAAAAAATAAGAAAATGAAAGAATTCTTCATTAGAAATGTCCTCATTCTAGTGACACATTAAAAAGTTATGTATTCTCTACTGCTTATAGCAATTGGATTTGGTAGATAGAAAAAGTATATTATGTTTTTATGTTCGGTAAATTTTTAATATTGAACATTCAGGTGAAATGAGATACATTTTTATTAGTGTAAGAGAAATATAAATAGTTTTCATTCCTTTATTTTAAAATTTGAAAAAAATAAATCATTAAATTTCGTCAATAAAAACTTCTGAAAGTTATTTTCCCATTAAAACTTAAACTGCCACAAACATGCACTTAGTTTATCCCATAATTGTTAATTAAAATAAGAAACAGGATTGTTGTATTGTCTCTGAAACCTTCATGGTAATTTCAGCTCGGTGACGCTATCAAACAAAGATGATAAATTCATAATAAAATGGGAACCCCAAATTCCCAAATCATCCATAACCTAATTTGGGGGCACGATGAAGGTATAATAAGTTGGATTTGCAAGGATAAAGAGAAGAATACCTGGTGCAGAGTTTAGGTAAGGACGGTCACGGCAAAGACAAAGGCGGAGAAATCGGAGGCGCCGGAGGAAAGCTGCCGGAGCTGAAAGCAGGGAATGAAGAGGGAAAGAGTATGGGAGAGAAATTAGGGTTTTTTGTTTTTGTACTTGTGTATACCGTGGCCTCCACGTTTTATTTATTTATTTATATTAAGTTTAATTTAATTAAAATTTAAATTTATGTAACAATCAAACTTTAGTTGAGATAAAGTGATTTTAAACAACTAAACCGCGTAATTAATTCAGGATAAATATTTAGTTTTATAGTTAAAATAAAAGTAAATTATATACTGATTTATAACAACCATAATAAAAGAATGATGATCTATAAATATTATTATTAAAAAAATTATTTAAAAAAAAATGAATACATTGTAAGTTTAATTCATTTTTACCAAATCTATTTATAAAATATGAATATACTCACTTGTTTATGATTTAATTATATTTTTATTTCACTTTTTCTATTATATTCTATTCTATCATATCATTTATAACTCTTGATAATTTTTTTCCGTCACTAAATATAGATTAAGTGTCACATAATATGAAATGTATTCATAAATATTTTTTTCATGTGTGATTGCGTATAATAATTAAAAGAAGTATTTTCCAAAAGTAAGATACGAAAAATTGAATTAATTCATGTGAATATTTTAGTTGATACATAAAAATTAGTTATGAGAATGAGTTAAAACAAATTTTTTTCAAGATATTTTTATTAAAATTTTTAAAACTGATTAATTTAGTCCAATTTGATAGTAAAAACAAATCCAAAATAAATTATAGTATATAATTTTAAAAAATATATTTATTATGATTAAATAAAATAATTTTTTATATATAATGTTACTTTTTAAAAATCAAAAAGGAATTACAATGAAACAAATTAAAATTATTAATATTATAATTCATTATGTTTAATGTTTTCATAATATTTTTTATTGAAAAATTATTTTATTATGATATGTGTTAATAATTTTATAATAAAACATACTTATACTAAATTATAAGATATTAGTTTGATTTGATTTAAATTTTAAATAAATGTTTCTATTTAAATTTTATATTTATATAGATGATTTTTGTTAGAAAATTAAACTTTACAATTAAGATTTTATTTTAATGTGAGACTTATAAATATATATATCAAACAAATATTAAAAACAATAATTCAATAATTAATCAATAAAATATATAAAAATATAAAAAAATATATATACATATATATATATATATATGGTAAAGTAAAAAATTTTAAATGAGAAAAAACACATTAAATAATATATATATATATATATATATATTAAAATTAATTATAATATAAAATAATATATTATATAAAATTTAAAAATTATTTATATATATTTAACATCGTACAAAACAAATATATATAAAATTAAATATATTATAATTGTTTGCGATGATATTTTATATTATAGAAACTATTAATTGTTTCATAGTTTATATTATAATGCTTACAAATATTTTTAATATCACTTGTTAAAATTAAATTTGTTAAGTTAAAATTTATTTTATTATATATTCTCTATTTTATCTTAAAAATTAGTGTATAATATTTTTTCTTAAACATGTTTAAAATTTAATTTATTTATATTTTAACATTAAAATTAAATATTATAAAATATAAAAATAACTAACTGATTATAACAAATAATACACTATTTAATATGTTAAATTAATAAAAAAATAAAATTACTTACTTCAAAAAATATTAAAATTAAAGAAAAAAAGTATACATTTTATACGTTAAGATAAAACCTAATAGAAAATAAGAATGAAAATGAAAAAAAAACATAATTAAAATAAAAGACTCTAAAATTGAAATAAGAATAATAAAAAATTATAAAAATAAAAAAATGAAAGAAAAAAATTAGACGAGAAAATAAAATTAATATTTATTATAATATTTATTATTAATTTTTACAAAATAAAATATAATAATTAATTTTTATATTTTAAAAATTATTTAATTAAAATTTTTAATTATATATATGAAAAGGTCAGAATTTTAGGGCTCCTCTGACTATATATTAATTATAAATAAATTACGTGAATGGCGTGATACATCTTCCAATATTTTTATTTTAAAATTACAAAAGAAAAAATATTTTCATCGAAGAAGGGCACAAAATTGCTAAACGTGGTTTGGTTGTAACCAAACTTTCCCAACTCTCCTTCCACCAACTAACATACCTTCCAATTTCTCAGTTTCTTCCATCATCCATACTCATAAAAGCTCAATGTTTATTTATTTTTCACTCCTTCTATATTCATTTTCTCCCTCATTTTCAAAGCTTCGATTTTATTTTCTTAATTTTAAAGCTTCGATTTTATTTTCTTAATTTTAAACAAGGGTTTCTCAACGTGCTCAAATTTATTTGAATAATTTCTTTTTTTAAAGATAAAGAATAAAAATATAGTTAAGTCTATATTATTAGTACAATCTTATAGTTAATTGACATTTATTTGATTGGTTTTATTTATTTATTTTAATTAAGTCACATCATCAAATTCTTCAAAAACACACGAATTTCAGGATCAAGTACACAATAAATTGAGATTAAGAAAATATTTATACAAAAAGATTATCCATCACCACACCTGAAAAAAACATAAAAATTAAAAAAATTAAAATAAATTTTTTTTATTATAATTAAAAATATTATATTTATTTATGTTATTGAAATATATAAATATATTATAATATTGCAATTTAAATTATAAAAAATAATTAATTAAGTTTAAAATATTAATTAATTAATTATTTTAATATATAAATATATGTTTTTTATTTATATACTAATAATATTAATTAATAAATAAAAACAATTAAAAAAATTATATGATTAAAAATATATTTTAAAAAATTAATATAAAAACTTTTATATAAATAAAATTATCATTGATCCACTGATCCATAGCCTATGATCGGTTTGTTGAAAAGAGGTGTCCAATTGAACCTATCAGACTTATATATATATACAAGAACACTTTGTCTTACTTGATCAGGTTAATGTTGTCACAAACATCAATTCCCATAAAAACAGGTTCCAAATGACACCAACTTAAATGTTACTTTTTTTATATGTCAAAAAGGAATGGTTAAAGGCATTGAAGAAGAAGAAGAAGAAGGTGACGTTTGATTCTACTCCATTCATTGCTGCCAAATGCTTCAAGTATTTTAAAAACTTAAGTAGGACAAATATTCTACTTGTAATCTTAATCTCTGATCATGACATGCCACTTCCTCAGAAGAATTTTGTAAAAAGAAATTACCTTTATCAATTCAAAACTATTGGATAATTTTAACAAATAGTATCTATGAATTTATTAAAAATTATTCATAAGAAAAGAATATAGATGCACATTTTAGTTTACAAAAATAATTATTTTTTATATAATAATTCATTTTAATAACTTACAAATATTAAACATATGATATATTTTATAATTAATACGCAAATACAAAATAAAAAAAATAACAGCATAATCTCACTGAATAACAATTATGAAATTATTTATTTGAACATAATAAAAGGTCAATTTTAACCCTTTGTTTTTGGCAATTATTGTATTGCTAACTATTTTATCATAACATAATAATTTATTTATCAAGATAATATTAATTATTCATTTGACCAAATAAATATATTACATTGATACCCTCACTACTCTCTCTACCTCTATTTTGGACGAGGAAATAAATACTCCACCAACCCTTCTCTCTCTCTCTGCACACACACACCAACATTTGTAAAAACATTGTAATAAATTAAAGTGATATTAAAACATAAAAAAAACCATCAAATATTTTTAAATTATTTACTAGTTGTAGCTTTGATAAGAAAATAGTTTTAATTTCTTCCATCGAATGAATATAACAAATACATGTATTTTGATGTTGCTGTGACTGTGGTTGTTTTTTCCTGCATCAATTAATCAGTTATTGTCCTAATCACAATAAGTTGCAATGAATTATTGAGTTTCTTGTCTACGTATTTTTAAGTTCATGTAATCATTTTGACTTTCCAAAGGGATGCACGGATAAGGTTTCCCGAGAACAAGGGAGTTGTAAAAC